TGACTGACAAGCAGCCCCTTTTGAAGTACCATTCGGCCATGTGAGTAAACCATGTAAACAAGTCGCCGCGACGTACCCTCTGGATGAATGAAAACAAGACATGAATAAAACGAAGACCAAGGTCCCTTATGGTCATCTGGCAATCGACGGCAAACAGACCACAGTAGAAAGTTATAGGATGAATATACGACCAAACCAAAACATAAGACTTGGTCAGGACAATCTCGGGTCACTTTTCTTACTTCTCCTTTTAGGCCCCATCGCTTTCCCCCAATGATTTGAGTGAAATCCACCCAGGAGTCCTGCCTCTAAGTCCCTTGGGTCAAATGAACTTAATGGATTTAATTATTATTTGCCTACCCCTAATGATGTTTCAGAAAAAAAATCAAAGAAATCCATTTAAGCATCAGGGAAGAATAATATTTTATGGCAACAATTGTTTTACTTCTCTTTTAGGAACCCAGCCCTTACGTCACTAAGTCCTTAGTGGTCGAAACAACTTTTTGAATTAAAGAATCAATTGCCAATCATAATATTTCAGACAAAATTTGAATGAAATCAAGTCAAAAATCGAGGAAGTGTAGCATTTTGAAGCAAAATAGTGCCTTCCCCATTTGGGGCCCCACACCCTAGGGGTCATATCAACTTTTCTAACCGAAGAAATGATTCACTGATCCTAATGATGTTGCAGACCATCTTGGATTTTGACTTTGAAAGTTTGTTATTGCTATTTCTGCGGAAGTACAGGATGCATCACTCGAATTTCCTATATAGATTCCCCTTGTCTCTAGTTGTGTCCATTTAATTTTGGGACTGATCAGAAAAACGAAATGGCCGACAGGCGGCCACCTTCGATTTTTTCAATGAAGTTTGTGATCGCTACTTCTTGAGACGTACTGGAAGGATCTTTCCTAAATTTTATATGTAGACTCCCCTTGGTCCCTAGCTGTACCCATTTAATTTTTGGACTGATCAGGAAAATAAAATGGCCAACCGGCAGCCATCTTAGATTTTGTCTTTGAAAGCTTGTTATCGCTATTTCTTGAGAAAAAATGCAAAGATCTTTCTCAAATTTCACGTGCATGTTTCCCTTGATCCTTAGCTGTGCCTGTTTGATTTTGGGATTGATCAGGAAAAAATGGCCCTTAGCAGCCTTCTTGGATTTTGACTTCGAAATATTTCGCCAAGTAAAGATTGTTATCCCTATTTCTTAAGAAATACTGTATAGATCTTTCTCAAATTTCATGTATTGATTCCTCTCGGTCTCAGTTGTTCCTGTTTGAGTTTGGGATTAATCAGAAAAAACGAAATGGTAGACAGGCAGCCATATTGGATTTCGCTTAGTAAAGATTGTTATCCCTATTTCTTAATAAGTACTGAATGGATATATCTCAGATTTCATAATTATATTCCCTTTGGTCTCTCCTTTTACCCGCTTGATTTTGGAACTGATCAGAAGAAACAAAATGGCCTTCGGGTGGCCATTTTGGATTTCGCTGGTAAAGATTATCATCACAATTTCCGCAAAGGAATGTTTAACTGTCTTATCATTAAGAGCTAAACAGAAAAGAGAAGAGAAAAGAAGGGAAAAGATCCAACTTTTAAAGAGCAAATAAATATCAAACAATGGTGGGCCCCAAGATCCCTCTGGGATCTCTTGTCATGACTTAAATCAGCTTTCTGAATTTAACAATAAATTGCTCACCCTTGTGTTATGCAGGAGTAGTGCTTGAAAAGAAAAGTTTATGGACAGCACATGACGATGGACGAAGCACGATAGGTCATATTGACCCTTCGAGTCACCTGAAATGCTTGGCTAATTTCGATATTTCAAAATTAGGTTGCAATATTACTTAAACCATAGTGCCAATCAGTCACCAATACATGACAATATCCTAATTAGTTTTGTTTGATTTTCAGTTCACTGGATACTTCAACAGGTTGATCTTGACTAGAATGTGTGAAGTCAAATATTGCAGTCCCATTGTTTGAGATGATAATTAAATGTATCTACAGACACTAAGCCAGATTTCTGCACAATCAGGCTAGGCTGAACGATGTAGCTAGGAATGGTCAAGACTGATTTTTTTTTTTAGATCTTTCAACACCATTTCAACCAAGAATTAGCATTTACAGCTTGCAACATAAATCATATTATCAAACTGGTTTTCAGATAAAGATTTTTCACAAGTTATGAAAATAATGTTGATCCTCAATTGGTTCTAGATCAAAAGACCAAGCCAACTGGTACCGCTGTTCTCAGGAGCCTCTCATCCCATCGCCTTTACTTAAAGAGGTACAGTATATACAACACATCACTTTGGCTTAAAGAGGTATACTACCTTTTGGCAGTTGCACACATCTCTGTTCCAGAAAAGTTGCATAGTTTATCATTTTGATAGTTTGGGCATTATACTAAATCTAAGTCTGTCAAAGGAAAAACTACAAATAAAACAAAATGACTTATATTGACCTTTTTCCCAGTATCTGGCAGAACTGTAAACAAACCAAACTATATGAAACCATTTCTAAGGGCACTGCAATTATGACAAGACTAAACTGCAGAGTTACAGAGCAAACACGACTGTCTGTAGATCACCATATAGGGTACAATAAGAGTAAAAATATGGTATGTGATACATTCAATATTGGATGATGAGCATCATGTCTTTTCTTTACTCTGACTGGTTACAAAGTTAAGAAGCAATGTGTTTTGGACAGAAGCACACAGACAAACATAGAGGTTCCATGAACAAGAGGCCAAGTGGCCTTGATGGTCACATGAAATAAGCAATATTGAATATAAAGGTTAAAGGGTAGCTTTCAAGTGTCATGCAAAGAGAAAATGGGACACTGAATATATTAACCAATGTCAATACATGTATACCATCAAAACTATCCTCCTATACTGATTATTCTTACAATATCTTATTATTATTATCATGATATACGGCCCTTTTAACACATAAAAGGTCATGAAGGCCATTAACCGGTAAAACATGCAGCGATCCAAAAGGAAATATTATTAAGCAAACCATAAGGTAAAAGACAAATGCTAAAAATCTTACATGGGTGTACTATCACAAAAGATTAAAATGGTACCTCAAAATATATATAGACCAACATCTTTCAGGTAATGTAGAATTTTACAAATCTCAACAGTTTCAAAAAGGGGTTTTAGACATGTAATGTCACGATAAAAACATTCTCGAGTAGACAGGTCAATGCAGTCCAATAAAAAATGTTTAACGGTGAATGACTCACCACATCCTATGCACCGAGGATTATCTTAGCCTTTCAACATATATGAATGTGTAAAGTATGTATGACCCATCCGAAAACGGGGAAAGACAACTTCGTCTCGGTGGTTGTGTCTAGAGCATGGAGACCATTCACCGATAACAGGTTTTACGGAGTGCAATTTATTATTGGTATATGTATTCCATTCCTCCTGAGCTTTTAAAATGTGTTTAATAAATGGTTTAAAATTGGTAAAATGAAGTTTAAAAACAACAGGTGGCAGCGATAAAGCTTCCTTTGTGGCACGATCTGCTTTTTCACTGCCTGGTATTCCCATGTGCTCAGGAACCAAGCAAAAAGCAATACGAAAGTTAAAGGCAAGTTCATGATATAGTATTAATGTATTACGAATGAAAATATTCAATATTTCTGCTGCTAAGACTTTTTAGAACAGAAAGAGAGTCTGAATAGATAACAGTTCTCATTACTTTTTTTGTTTGAATATAATCAAAGGCGAGGTAGAGAGCTCGCGCTTCCGCCGAGAATACTGAGGCGTTGTTCTGTAGCCGGCATCCAATGGGAAGTAAACAACATTATGCTCAAAAATGCTATTTTTCTATAAAAATAACAGGAAAGTTTAAAAAGAAATGTGAGACCAATTTTGGTAATTAAAGTGGCTGCAGATGCTTCCATTCATACAGAGCATTTGATTCTACAATATCTGGGTGTTTACGGATGCACACCGGATAAAAGTGATTGAAACAGGTCACCATGAGACACAATGCGAAAGTCAGTCAAGTCTATTCAGTTGAGTAAACTTTTCAACTGGCAAACTTTTTTTTATTTTGCCAAAATTTGGTCTGAAGCATCTTTTGGTGAAGAAAAATCAATTTTGTGTAAACACTTGGTCTTAGTACCCTAGGCTGAGTGGAAAAATAGATCAAATTCTTTAAAATCCTATTCCTCCTGTAGAAATGATAAGATTTTGCTAGGCTAAAAGATCCAGGTGAGCGATAAAGACCCAATGGGCCTCTTGTTGCATATAACACTTACTTTGAAGGAAATGAGTTTAATCAAAGTTATTGAGATGTCACAATTTATAGATGTAGTATTCTTTTTCAGAAATACTTTCTGCATAGTTGTGCTTATATCACGCATTTTCCAGTCAAAAAAGCGATATGGACTGATGTGAAAGGCAAAGCTGACTAAGGAAATATCTTTGATCATATATTCCTGTATAAGTTATAGGGATGGTTAAATATAATTTACATTTGTTCATCCATCATGAGTTATATCACAAGAAACACAAGATGGTGCATTTATTGGGATGAATGTCCACATATCTGACCTAAATATTTGGAATTGGGTCACTTTCATATCGTTACAGAGTCAAACCTTAAACTTAAGAATGGCAATAAATCACAGCAAGCTTTGGATAAGTTGATATTGGTATATTTACGGGTTTTACAAAAACAGAGGCCTGCTGTTTAAAAGAAATCCAATGACAAACCAATTAAGAATCAACTTATCTTATGCTTGTTATGAATGATTGCCATTCTTTGTTTGTCCCTTTATTCATATCACCCTGCATACCCAGAGGTACCCAAACAAGGGATATCAGGAACCAACCAAACCTTTATTGAAGTAACAGCAGCATTTGCTCTGTCCTTATATCTATGTAACTAAAGACAACTCTTCCCGATGAATAGATAGAGAAATGCAATATCTTCAGAATATATAAATAAAATTTACAAAACATGTAGAAATATATAATGTTGTATTTGTTTCACATACATAAATTCAGTAATCACATTTCATTGTCCATAACAACCAGGTTTCCATGACAACGGATCATTTATCAGCACTGTTAAAGTATCACACATCCAAATTTCACACAAATTCTAATATACAAAGCAAAAATAGTTCATAATGTCTTATCCACAATGATGTCATTTCAATGTGACATATAAAGTTATCTGTGTAGATGATGTATTCTGTCCACACAAAGTTCCACCAGCAGTTTATCTACTTTATCTATAAAGAGCCTATAGATGATTAAATGCAAGACTCTTATAACATTAAACGCCTTTCTCAAGGAGCAGCATTCAGTCAATGGTTTTTTATTCAGCCCCTCTTCCAAGTGTTGGTATCGCACTCAAACTAGTTCAGTATACTGATACATGTACCATTATCAAATATTCACATTGTCATGACTAAATATCACAACTATTTCACTTTGTAACACAAACATGACTGTTGACTGATTAACCAGTTGCTGTATTTTCTATACGTGCACTCTATGATAAAATTAATGAAATAGAATGTACTACTAAATGCCTTACATGAATAATGTCTCATAATTTTAAACAATAATTGGATTTAAATTTTTAATTTAAATTTTCTCGGGCAACAGATACTTTTTGGTGGCATAGTAATATCTTCCTCAGCAATTCTCCAATGAACTAATGTATCAGACACAGAAATTGGATTTGGCACAAATTGACACAAACATCACTTTCAAACACATCAATTGCAATGCTTGGTCTCTGTATCACCAATGAGGTATTTTAAGACTATGGATAATCACATCACATATACTGACGGTCCTGTCCTCTGCACCATAAAGTCAGTTTGACCTCCACAGGCTGATGTAGTGCCATGTTCCAGGTAACTATGATATCAATTGGTGCTACAGACAGAGCTGAAGTCAGGCATATTCTTGATCTCCAGGTCTAATAACATCTGACCCATTGCTTTTCCCTAAATAAGAGAAAAAATGATGTTAACATCTGAAATGTGGTTCCTATGGAAACAGAGGCCTAGCGGCCTTGACGGTCACCCGAGATAAGCAATATTGAATATGAAGGTTTAAGGGTAGTTATCATAAAACAGAAATTGTGACACTGAATATAGTAAGCCAGTGTCAATCCATACATTCCATCAAAACTGTTGTCCTATACTAATAATTTTTAAAAAGTTATTTCCAGTGGGAAAGTGGAGAAATGAAAATAACAGTAAAGTTAACCCCACCCCCCAAAAAAAAAAGAAATGTGAGACCCATTTTGGTAATTAAAGCACCTTAAGATGCCTCCATTCATACAGAGTATTTGATTCTACCATATCTGGAGGTTGAGAAGAAATCTGATTCAATTTGACCCCTTCTGGCCCTCCCTATCAGTTCCTTCGGGGTTAGCCAGGATCAACATGGGCATATTATATACACATATTTTCTTATTAGATCACTTTTACTCAATAATGTGTGTGTACTTCTCATAGACTGACCATACAATCATGTCAGTATTGTCAATGAATGATATTTCCATTGTTACAGCTGTAAAAATTAGTAAATTTCTAACAATATTGGAATCCCATACAATTTCTGATAATCTCAGTGGAGTTGAAGGAGGGTGGGGCAGTTAGCATAGATGTTTGTGATGTCCTACACATGACATTTAAGGATATCTGATGTCATATCAGTGTTAATTACTTCCGAGAAATTTGTAAGACGCTAACCTGAATTTTTATGGGATTTATAGCCTTCATTTTGACATCAAAGTGCATAGGTCACATCATCAATATCAATAAATGACGTCATTAGTACTTGTGACATCGTCAGTAACTATGATGTCATAATTAATCATCTCTACTTTTCAGTTATCTAAATTCACAGAAGTACAAACTACTGGATTCAGTTTTAATTGCAACATTTTTCAAGAAATTCTATGGCTTACTGAGATCTAAATTTTTTGAATAACCTCCCTTTATTTCTAATTTGAGAGAATAGGTCCAAATACACCATACAGGAAAATCCATATTACTCTGTAGCTATTGGAGATACAGAGTATAGAGATATATCAATTTTTTATCATTTTCTAGACACTCAGAGGGATTTCAATGAAATTAAAAAAATAAATGTTCTATATCAGGTACCTGTAGACAGTTTCGCGGTGTGGCCATGGGTGATATTTTTGTTTTAATCAAATTTGAAAAATAAATACTTGCTAAAATTGGTCTTGTCACATTGAAGAGGAAAATGTGGGGTTTCATATTTACAGAACAATATTTTTACATTGTGTTGGAGATTACTATTTGGGCAGTCTTGAATTTATGTCTACACATCAAAAACTAGTTTTACAGGAAGTGAAATTTTACACATGGTCATGTTGTGAAGGCATTCGGAGTTGGAATTTGCTGAAATGTAATAAGTTTGTTACAATATCTACAAAGTTGTAGTGTTAGGTTGGAATTAGTAGTCTTTTTGCATTTTTAGCATTTTTTGTGTTGGTAACCATGACAATCACACCTCAGAAATCAGTACATAACTTTTTCCCCATCTACTATTAATGTAATTGTTATGTAGTTTATAAATATATATACATGTAAGGATGTTTTTCTCATAATCAATCTGCTATACCTGTATATCTCAAACATGACCAATAATTTCAGGAAAAAATATAAATTAACTAACACAGATGAGTCTAATTATGAAATTTGGTAAAAATTCCACCAATTTTTCAAAATCAAATATGGCTGTCTGTGGCCATTCATTTATTTGTTCAAATGAAGGCTAGCATTGTAGAATGCACTTTTAAATTCCAATCACAAATATGAAGCGAAAAAGTGAAGTGATGGGTTTTTTTCTGCCATGCCACAGATCATGAAGTAATTAAAACAAGTTCCTTGTAAACATGTAATTTATATAGACCACACAAGAAACTTTGAACCCTGATGTGTCATAATGAATGTGTCAAACTGCCAGGACAAGTGAGGGTGCCTTGTTCAGTGATGCCCTGAACAAAGGTACACAACAACAACATACTACTTTTTGTGCAGTAGTACAGTGAAAGGTGTTCTTGTAAGTTGGCCCATTTTTATTTGAAAATGAATTGATTAAAGTAAACCAAAGACTGTTTCATTACTTCTATGAAAAATACATCCCCCTAGCTTCAGGTGTTCGGTAAAACATCAACATTTACAGACATGCATAGGGTGACCTGCAAATTGTTATGATAAACATTTTCACCATTTTGTTTGTGTTTTTAATGTTGTGTTAGGTTGAACAGTTGTATCCTGCCCAATGGTAGCAACCTCCTTACGTTTGTAAATGGAGGTGAGTAACAGACCTTAGGGAGTTGATCTTTTGTAGAACATCTAAACTTGCCACTTACCTGTGGATCACAGCGTAGGGATGCTATGCCACCACCACCCAGCACGTTATGTAACACAAAGTTCATTCCATGAATTCCTGGTACATCATACCTAAAACACACATTTTACATCAGCACTGGGTCAAAAGTCAAGGTCACCTGGAATACTCTGGAATTACAATCTAAGTAGAGAGGAATAGTAGTAGTGTCGTCAAACTCTAGCCCTCTAATATCTAGTCTTAACCCTTCAAAATCAAGGATCATTGGGCAATTTAAAGGGTCTCAAAGAAAAAAACGTCTTATAATAAATATTATTGTATTATTATCACATCTGTTTTCATTAGGTGATAAGTCCTGTGTTATGTATAAACATTATTTTGATTAAAATAGATCCAGAAACTGCTTTTGATCTTTTTAAATACTGATCGAATGTAAATAAATATCAGGTGATTCTATCAATGATTTTAGCAGGTCATGATATGGTCAATATCGGGTTGATCTGACAAAATCTGGTGAGCTGGTGACACTGAAGATGGACCTTTAAAAGTCATCTTGAAGTGCTGAGGTTTCACTATCTGAAAATAAAAAATTATCTGCTGATGATTGCACCTGAGTGTAAACTGAAGTGCCATCACCAGGAATAACCAGGACAAATAAGAATGCCTTGGTCACATCATACATATGTTGGACCAGCCAGAGTTAGTTTGGAAGATGAATGGAAGAGGAGTAGATAAGCCAATTTAAATAATTTTTGTATAGCAATTTGTAAGAGATCTAAGAAAATTGAACATTGTTGAAAATTCACTGACCTTTGAACCCTTGAGCTTAGAGGACCATCCCTGTCCATAAAAAGATGACCGAAATATTCATCTACGACCTTGGCAGTTACAGCCTGTTGTAAGTATGGTAAAATACTTGGGTGCCTGGCAACCACACCTGCAAGGAAAAAAATACTATGTATCAGCTCTCTTCATCTAAAACATAAATTTTAAAACCATTGTCATTTGTTACAGCTGAAGCTACCAGCATTATACATGACATGAATAATAATACAGAAACATGTGTCTCACCAACATGACACTGGTAACAATACAGACACATATGTCTCACCAACATGACACTGGTAACAATACAGACACATATGTCTCACCAACATGACACTACTAACAATACAGAGACATATGTCTCACCAACATGACACTGCTAACAATACACAGACATATGTCTCAACAACACAACACTTCTAACAATACAGGGACATATGTCTCACCAACACGACACTACTAACAATACTGAGATATATGTCTCACCAACATGACACTGATAACAATACAGAGACATATGTCTCACCAACATGACACTACTAACAATACTGAGATATATGTCTCACCACTGCAACACTACTAACAGTACCAATGAAATGTCTCACCAACATGACACTGCTTACAATAAAGGGACAATATTTCTCACCAACATTGGCCGAGTTGCCCTTATCACCACTTCTGGTGTAAGCAAGGTCGCTCAGTCGGTAGGTACAGTTGCCTCCAGGGAGGGGACTGGATTCCGCAGTCTCTGGTTCAGCGCTGCCAGTGTTGTAGGTAGCTGTGGTGATGGATTGGGGTTGGAATGTCTCTGCATATTCTCCATTCATGTGAATGTCAAGCTAAGGTGAAAAAATTAATGAATCAGTTATAAGCCATATTATTTGTCACATATCACAATGAAGTAACACACACAACATTACTATTAAGCAGTTAGTGGCCTCATTTCACCAAACTTAATCTACAATTGATCTCTGTAAATGTCACTTTTTGTACCAGGGAATGAAGATCTCAGCTCAATCAACTTTAATGAGAAATAAAACAAATCTGATCAATTGTGTTCTGAAGAAGCTCTCTTTATAGATCACAATGCCTTTGTGTTCTGATTTTGACATGTAAAACCATAAAACATAGCTTATTCAATTCCTCATAGAAACAGGACAATCAGATGACCGTTAAATACACAAGAGATTTCATCAACTGATTTTATAAAATCCAAATATAGACTACAGTTAAGGGGAGATAACTTAAAATTTTATACCAGCACAAGGCAAATTTCAACAACTTTCTACTCATGAAGGTGTAACGTCCGGTAGTCTCTAATTGTAGGAAAAAATTTTTAAAATGTCAATCAGAAGACACAGTGTCCATTGTTTTGATCTGCAGGAGATATAACAATATTTGTTTGGGACTCCATAGGGATTATTTATACCAAGTAAAAAGTCAATTGTCTCAGCCAATCAGAAGCCACGCTGGCCATACAGGATATTCCAATCTGCATCAAAATCAACAACACTTGTGAAGAACATCATCATGATCCTTTGTACCAGCATTCCCAGCCCAATAACTCTTGTAGATATTAACAGATTCCAATTATCATCAAATCCATGCAATGGACATAAACCCACATATCAAATTTGGTGAAGGTCGGACAGCCTACTGAACTAACACTAACAAGTTTCTACCTAATCAGTCATCCCTTACTCAAGCTTGAAACCATCTGGACAGACAGAAGGGTGAACATTGACAAAACACTATAGTCCCCTCCCATTTCACCAGCAGGGGACTAATCAAGATGTTACCTTTAGCTGATCTTTGGGGTACAAATATGAAAAGAGCTTCAGTACTGGGGATCTGAAATATAAAATCAAAGATAGCGTCAATTAAGTTTAGTTCCTGTTTATAAATATCAGGTAATATTTGTCATTGACAGGACAGATAAAGAGACAAAGAATGTGTGATACATAGCAAATAGATAAATAAAAACCAGCTAATACAGAGACCAGTCAGACTTTACATTACATGAAACACATCATAGTGTTGTCGTTTACTCTTGAATGGCTACTATTTTGCAGGTGACTATGGGATAGGTCAGAGGTAATACATTGTATTTGTTAATCTTTTAGTATCTATATACCGTACTGTTGTTTAGCTATACTGCTATTCAGGAAAACACAACTTCATCTCATAGTTATTAAGCCTACTAAGTTTGAAAGATATTGGTTGAAAACTGTGGCAGGAGTTCCCCAACAAATAAAACACCATACCATAAATTCATATAATAATTTACTGCTGGGTATCTAATTTCAAACTATTCTGAATCTGCTACAAATATAACCATAACCAAGAATGCACCTTACTTTTCCCGAGATTTTTATTCACTGTAAAGATGTTTGCTGGGTATTCAATTTTGTTCCAGTTTTAATAACTCTGAATACTGTGTAATGGGATATTTTTACCCAAAAGTTATTTTTGCCCAAACACCAATTAACAATAATTAGCCTCATGTTCATTTCACCCTCTGAGGATTGCATATAATGATTATTTATTGTAAAAAAAATGCAGCTTCCATGTTCATGGACAAAAAGAATGAAAATGAAACGGGGCAAACATTTCCCAGTGTACAGTATAGTGCCACAAATATTTCAAACTATCGCATTTCCCTACCTATCAACCGTACCCGTGTATAAGCAACAGGACTGTGTTTTCACAATTTTCATAATTTCATCAGCATGTAATTCTGCTGATTTTTTTTTGTTTCCTTCACATATAAGATATAAGCTGATTGGCATATAGGCCACACCCCTGACTCAAAAAGAAAACAGTCGCAGCTTATAGGCTGGAAAATACGGTATACAGTATATGCGTATGACAGTCTGCAGTACCTAGTTTTTAACAATAACTTACACACTTGGTCTTCCTCCAACAATTCCCGTCAACCCTGGGGCTGTGAATAAAGAAGAAAAATATCAAATAGATTTATAACCATCTATAAAATTTGTGGTTGGCTATCTATTAAAAATTTCAAAATCCTTTTGCACAACAATCAAGCAATTTGACATATTACTTGGTGAGGATAGACCTAACATGTAAAGTGCACTGAAAACTGCTGATCAGATTTCTGTGGTCAGATGTGTTATCTCACCCATGCCTGTCCCAGCTGGAGCTATTTCCCTAGCAAACATCTGTAGTGCTTTCTTCTGTTGGTGGTGAACAGCCAGCCACATCACTGATTCTCTACTGCCCTGCAGTGATAATGTAAACACAGGTAGTAAATCACACTTCACAATTCACAGGATTCACAATATATTTTGTCCATGAAATTCAATCAAATATAGAAAAGTTATAATACAGAAATCACTTAACAAATAGAATGAATCCATAGTGACAATGGCTATATAGAGGGTACATTTATAACTCTCTATATAACTAGAACACACCTGTACTGCCAACGTCTATATAGAGGGTACATCAATATCTATATAACTAGAACACACCTGTACTGCCAACGTCTATATAGAGGGTACATCAATATCTATATAACTAGAACACACCTGTACTGCCAACGTCTATATAGAGGGTACATTTATAACTCTCTATATAACATAAACACACCTGTATTGACAACGTTTATATAGAGGGTACATCAATATCTATATAACATGAACACACCTGTATTGACAATGTCTATATAGAGGGTACATTTATAACTCTATATAACTAGAACACACCTGTATTGATAATGTCTATATAGAGGGTACATCAATATCTCTATATAACATAAACACACCTGTATTGACAATGTCTATATAGAGGGTACATTGATAACTCTCTATATAACATGAACACAACTGTATTGATAATGTCTATATAGAGGGTACATTGATAACTCTCTATATAACATAAACACACCTGTATTGACAATGTCTATATAGAGGGTACATTGATAACTCTCTATATAACATGAACACAACTGTATTGATAATGTCTATATAGAGGGTACATTTATAACTCTCTATATAACTAGAACACACCAGTATTGACAATGTCTATATAGAGGGTACATTGATAACTCTCTATATAACATGAACACACCTGTATTGACAACGTCTATATAGAATGTACATTTATAACTCTCTATATAACAAGAACACACCAGTATTGACAATGTCTATATAGAGGGTATATTGATAACTCTCTATATAACATAAACACACCTGTATTGATAATGTCTATATAGAGGGTACATTTATAACTCTCTATATAACATGAACACACCTGTATTGACAACGTCTATATAGAGGGTACATTTATAACTCTCTATATAACATGAACACACCTGTATTGACAACGTCTATATAGAGGGTACATTTATAACTCTCTATATAACATGAACACAACTGTATTGATAATGTCTATATAGAGGGTACATTTATAACTCTCTATATAACATGAACACACCTGTATTGACGTCTATATAGAGGGTACATTTATAACTCTCTATATAACATGAACACAACTGTATTGATAATGTCTATATAGAGGGTACATTTATAACTGTCTATATAACATGAATACACCTGTATTGACAATGTCTATATAGAGGGTACATTTATAACTCTCTATATAACATGAGCACACCTGTATTGACAATAAATATCATGTTTTACCTGGGGAATCCTTGAATTTGGACCATACATTTGTTCTGATCCTAAAACTTCCATCTCAACGTTCGTGAAATCATCCAGTTTCATTTGTGCAAATATCTTTTTACATCTGTAAATAAATGAAGCATCTTTCTCATTTCACTAGCTGAATGAAACATCACAAGAATAACTACAGAATAATTAAGTATAGTCAGAGCATTGAGGTCCTGTCATTCATATTAAATTTTTTCTGGAATGAAGTTAATAGTTATGACACATGGTCTGAGGGGCGATATCTCTGATATCTGCTATTCCATTTTTGAAGTGACTTTGACCCAAAAACTTGTTAAATCCTTACTGCACTATATAATATTTCAGAATTCCTGACATTAAGGTTATACTCAGGAAAATTGGCTGGACATAGAGATGGATACTTTGTTATGTATGCTGTAAAATGCCAATATGTCTGCTTTGGACCAGGCGTCAAACACTTCAAAAGAAATGGTTTCAAATGCTAAATGTACACATATAAAATGATCATGATTGGTATTGTTAGCCCAGTGGAGTTTTGTTAACTATGAATGGTTAGCTAGTTCAGGTTGTTTATACTGTGGATTCATTTATTTTCGTTGGGTTCAATTTTCGTTGTTTCTACAAATTAGACAGTTTCGTGAATAAATTCGTCCATGTTTTATTTCATTAAAAACGTTAGAATTTTCTTTTTACTTCCATCTGAATTTTTTTCTGTTTGTATTAAGGCTATGTTCACAGGAATTAACACTAATGACAAGAATAAAAGAACTTTTTTTTTCAAGTGGTGTCCTGTGTTTTTATAACCTGTTTACAACAGTTCATTAATATCAAACCACAAATTTTTATATATCCTGGCGTGTAATCAATCGGTAATTATCAGAAACAATTGTTTTCAGTGGATAAACATTGTGTGCTGATCATCGGTGTACCGCAGTTTTGAAAACACCACGTGACTTTGGGACCATGTGTGTAAACAGGTGTGTAAACAAGATCTGCATTATTATAATTATTGTGAACCTGTTCAGACATTAAGGTTATACTCAGGAAAATTGGCTGGACATAGAGATGTCCACTTTGTTATGTATGCTGTAAAATGCATCACAATGTCTGCTTTGTTATGTTTAAACATATATAAGATAATGGTTTCAAATGCTAAATGTACACATATAACATGATCACGATTGGTATTGTTAATTCAATGGAATTTTGTTAACTATGAACGGTTAGCTAGTTCAGGTTGTTTATGATATATATCATTTTACTGTCTTCATTATTAGTTAACACCTGACAACTCCAGGACTAAATAGGTTCAAATGATTCAGGGACAATGTTACTAGATATTTAATGAACAGTAAGTTTACTATGATCAATCCACATAATCAATGGACAAATGAGCACCTTTGAAAATAAGTCATATACTCTTACAGAAGTTTCCTGTTTTAAGTAGCCATGTGTTATTACCTCTTAATGATAGCCTCAGCTGTTTTCTCTGCCTTGGCCTTACTGTTTGGTCCACCAACACCTGCCACAGCGGTACACCTGTACCCATCTAGGTAGGTTGCACATACCTATAATCATTAAAATATATTGATAAAGTACAGCTGTACTCACCATAAAAACAGACTGATTTAGAATACTTGAGCATATTTAGGTAGGTCAAACACACCTTATCATTTCAACATACTGAATTAGTACAACTGTACCCATATAAATAGGTAATACACACCTAATCTAAAAACCATACTGACTTAGACATGTCAAATCTGATAAACAAAGCCGACCATGCACATCTTATCATCTAATACATCATAGTAATAAAATTTGAAAGGCATTTTGTTTTTATGTTAAAAATTATCTGATATTCAACTCTCTTTTTTGTAATTATTGCAGAAGGTTTTAACATTTTATATATGTATGTATAACATTTGTTACAATTACAAGATGAGATAGATATTTACTTTGTAATCTGAAGTGGGTGGTCTCCCCTTGGCTCCTTCCACCAATACTTTGTTTTCGCCTGGAAAGATATCAACATATTCTTTATACAAATGTCCAAAAATTATTGATTCATATCTGCCACACAAGTATACAAAAACTTTCTACAGAAAGAAACAAAAGAAAACAGATTTCAAGAAGCTCAGAGAAATTTCATGAAATGCTGGTTCCCATTACTTCTAGAATATGAAGAGACTAGCAGAAAGTACATATATATAGCATTTATCTACTGTAAGTACAAAATGCTATAACTTACGCATGATTTAACATTTTTACCTAGATCAGTAAGGTTGACACCCGTAAAGTCACACACCACATCAGGCAGGAAGTAGTGAGCTGGGTCTGCAATCTCGTACAGTAATTGTTCTGATACTGTTGCTGTAGATACTAGACCACCTGTACCAGCAGGCTTGGTGACGATGATCCCTCCATCAGCGTCACATTCCACAATCGGAAATCCAATGTTATCCCTTAGTTAACAGATTTGTGTACAGGGTATAAATATGTTACTTTTTTATCAATTTGATCTTATAGGTTATTCATGTAATAATGTCAGACAATTAATGCGGAACAATAAGGGAGACAACTCTACATATGGAGCAATAACTAGTATACCATATCATCACAATTAATTATTTTATCCACTGATTCCTACACAGATATTTTATAACTGTCTTGTTTCAGCCACAGTGATATGCTACCTAATGTTTACAGTCTCAAATGTTTTGTTAAGAAATAGTGTAAAATCCAATTATTTCATGGAGCTCAATTTTTATGCTTTTCAAAATAAATATTATTGGATAGCCACTTGGTTCTGTAGGTAAATACAGTTAATAAATGATAAATTTTAGCAGCATTTAAACAGTTTGAGTACCCACATAATCAACAAAAATAAATCCTTCATTGAAATTAATTATTGAACAGTAGTTGTTTTTTAACTTTTCAAATTGATTTTTTTTTTTTAATTTTAAAGACCAAAGGATATTTGTTTATTTGCTTGAATATGTGATAACACAGAAATTCTGTCTCATTGTATCGGTAATATTTGACTATCAAATTAAAGGAAGTAAGCAAAAAATCTTCCAGCAGTTATTTTCAACACTATTTACAGTTTGGAACAGTGTGTTATATAGCAGACTTCCATAACATTTAGAAAGTCCTAAGCTAATTCAACAATACAACAACAAACATGAAATCAAACCTTTGGTCTTCGGGCATCATTCTAACCTTGAACACCAGTAAATGTATGTCACACATGACTGCCCCCATATGCATGTTTAATATTGGTTTAAGACAAATTTGCAGAAGTTGTCAAAATGAGACCCTTGCACCTTGAACCTTGACCATGTCTATATGATTAGGTGTAGGACTTATGTTAGGACACTACAGGGTAAATATAAACCAAATCTGTTGAGAGATTTTAACACTCATAAACAAGATCAAGATTACAGATATAAGCATACCAGTTTTCCACCTTGTGCCAATCTGTGAAGATACCTCCTGTCACCTGGGCACCACATTCTATCAAATGTCCAGCCAGGCTGTAAAGACAGATTAATCAGATCAAAACTTACTCCAGCATGTAAGAATAAAAGGCCCAATGACCTGCATTGCTCACTTGGCTAATTCAGCTATTCAGTCACTTAACAATGAATTTCAAATATGACAAATGATTTGTTACACGTGACAATGTTCTTACCTGCCAGCTGCAAGTTTATCAAATTCATCCATTTTCCACTGAAACTAAAACAAAAAAGCAAAACAAAAAACATTTTAGGGTTCAGCATCCTGTAGATGAGAAATGAAATAAAAACTGATATATTCCAACTTTCTCCTTGAAACAGAATCCTTATGATATCTTTTAAGCCATTACATTAACTTCCATAATGTTAAAGTTGGGCATCTTCATGTTTTACTAATGAAACAGGATTAAAATTTACAAAGCAAAATAAAATTTCTGTTTACATTAGTTACCATTTGTGATATCAGAAAATCGTACATTAACTTTAGAATGGAATTCAATCGTATAATTTAAATTGGTCCATCTCTTATTTGATGAAACAAAAAAAAAAAAAATCATCATTATCATGCTTTCCCTGGAGAAGTGTGTAAATGTCTCCATTGAAAAGAAAATTCACTTATTTTGACAATTCAAATCTCTCCACTAGAGATTTGAATTGTCAAGCACATCACCTTATGGAGAAGGGGAGCTAAAACAAGGGCACTGTCTGTACATCTTCCTGTAATTACGATATCCGCACCAAGGTCAAGGGCACGCGCTATCGGCCCAGCACTGCAAACAGACACAAAATAAATGTAATTGCAGGTAAAGTTAAGGAAAAATGAAAATTTTACACCACAAACTGGTCATACTGAACAGATTTCTGGGTCGATGGTGACTTTTAAAAGATAGTGAATTTTGAAAATGCTTTTCACACATTCTCACATAAAGAGCAGCATAAAAGGATGTAAAGATTATACAACCTCATACAACAGTTGTGTCTACCTTGTGCATGTGTGAATTCTACCTACACAGAAGAGTTGTGTGAAAGTTATTTTCATCAAAAAAATCAATTTTAATGAAAAATTTACATTTTCTTGAAGCCATATACAAAAGTTTACCCAAGATATGCATTCATGCTGTTGACTGTGCTAGGTCTAAACCTTACCTGAGATATGCATTCATGCTGTTTAACTGTGCTAGGACTAAACCTTACCTGAGATATGTGTTCATGCTGTTGACTGTGCTAGGTCTAAACCTTACCTGAGATATGTGTTCATGCTGTTGACTGTGCTAGGTCTAAACCTTACCTGAGATATGTGTTCATGCTGTTGACTGTGCTCGGTCTAAACCTTACCTGAGATATGCGTTCATGCTGTTGACTGTGCTAAGACTAAACCTTACCTGAGATATGCGTTCATGCTGTTGACTGTGCTAAGACTAAACCTTACCCAAGATATGCGTTCATGCTGTTGACTGTGCTAAGACTAAACCTTACCTGAGATATGTGTTCATGCTGTTGACAGTACTCGGTCTAAACCTTACCTGAGATATGTGTTCATGCTGTTGACTGTGCTAGGACTAAACCTTACCTGAGATATGTGTTCATGCTGTTGACTGTGCTAGGACTAAACCTTACCTGAGATATGTGTTCATGCTGTTGACTGTGCTAGGACTAAACCTTACCTGAGATATGTGTTCATGCTGTTGACTGTGCTAGGACTAAACCTTACCTGAGATATGTGTTCATGCTGTTGACTGTGCTAGGTCTAAACCTTACCTGAGATATGTGTTCATGCTGTTGACTGTGCTCGGTCTAAACCTTACCCAAGATATGTGTTCATGCTGTTGACTGTGCTAGGTCTAAACCTTACCTGAGATATGTGTTCATGCTGTTGACTGTGCTAAGACTAAACCTTACCCAAGATATGTGTTCATGCTGTTGACTGTGCTCGGTCTAAACCTTACCCAAGATATGTGTTCATGCTGTTGACTGTGCTAGGTCTAAACCTTACCTGAGATATGTGTTCATGCTGTTGACTGTGCTCGGTCTAAACCTTACCCAAGATATGTGTTCATGCTGTTGACTGTGCTAGGTCTAAACCTTACCTGAGATATGTGTTCATGCTGTTGACTGTGCTCGGTCTAAACCTTACCCAAGATATGCGTTCATGCTGTTGACTGTGCTAGGTCTAAACCTTACCTGAGATATGTGTTCATGCTGTTGACTGTGCTAGGTCTAAACTTTACCTGAGATATGTGTTCATGCTGTTGACCGTGCTAGGTCTAAACCTTACCCAAGATATGCGTTCATGCTGTTGACAGTACTCGGAAACTTGCAGCCAGAAAACATCTCCTTGTAACCTTGTTCATTGATCTCTGAGCACTTTAGAAAGTAAAACATTTAAACTTGATATACATCTAATGTGTCATCCATTGATAAAGTATTACATGAAAATCAAGTCAGGAAGTACTTATTAACTATACAAGATTCCTTCTAAAAAATACATCAGAGTTCCCCAATATTTGTACAAGAGGGTATAAAATCCCCTTATTGTGAGTCTGAACAAGATAAACATGCTTTGAAATGAAATAATTCCATGTCAATTTTCACAGAAACTTTAGCATGACATATGAACAAAGAAAATTTTACTAACAAGACAAAACTGAAAGTATAATGTAATTCTTTAATACAGGAAAGATTGAGGTTAGTGTGCTAGCTCCATAGTATCACTGGATACTGTTGCCCATATCATGTTTTTTGTACTAAATTCATCCTTTATCTGCAAATCCTTAAACTTTCTCTTCAAGATATTCTTATTGCAAAGTGTCAATAATCAGGACATATTTTACAGTAAAAACAATATACATGCAGATATTGGTCATGAAATGTTCAAACTTCATGATAAGATTAGTAAGAGGACAGTCCAACAAATTATTAGTAGTCCTAGTTCACAGTCAACAACCATTTTACAAATTGAAAATGTCCTTTTTGTCCTTTGTGTTTTTAACTTATTCAGCACACAGATGATAAATCCAATGGTACCTTTGGCATCAAGTTGTCACCAGTGACAACGGCGATGTTGAGATCCACCGAGGCCTTCTGACAGATATCACGAAGGGCAACAGCACAAGCCTCAGGGTTGGTACCTCCTGCATTACTGATCACACGAATACCTTGAAGTAAAATGTATATATATTCATAAAACTCACATGGGAATGAGGGTTACTGTCTCCAAACTTGGCCTCACAAAAATTTGATATACATTTCCTTAATTAGAACAATGTCGAGGAAAGACCCTGCCTATAAGCTATAAAACAGAATGTTCCACCTATGCTTGTATATTGTTTTTGAAATAATTATCTTGTAGGCTTAAACTCCAAGATCTTCAATAAAGTTGAATTTCATATCAACAGAAATGACTCTTTTCATAATATCTTGAAAATTTTTTTACGCACATAAATGAACTATGTTTATGGTTTATTGTAAAGTTTCAATAAGATGGGTGCAATATACAATCAAGTAAAATTGATAATTTCCGTTATCATATCAACAGTACAATATTTCTCAATACATACAAGGTAGAAGTCTGATGTTCAGATTGTGGTAATGCATTATTGCATTCATATCTTGTCCATACAGCCCACAAATATCTGTTTATGATCGCTATAATGTGTCCACATTTGGATGACTTGGGAGTGATCAATGTCTCATACCCAAACACGATCAGTATGGGAACCACTATGGTGGGTTGGAGCAGAACCCAGGTATCGTGTATAACAGAAAACACATAAATTTCGTGAATATCCTAATTCAACCTTGAAAGTTGTTGTGCAGAATGGCATAAATTTGCCAAATTTTTTAACATCCAAAGTCCCATAACTCTTGTTGAAATGAACATATTCCAATGGTTATCAAATCCATGTGAAGGCTTGTGTACATAAACCCACATACCAATTAAAATGATAACCCAACTGTAGATATGCAGTTTGCGGCAAGTAATAACATATTAAACCATATACCAAATTTGGAGAACATCGGGATACACAAGTTATCATAACGAAAGCAATAAAACAGTAAGTTTTTGTCATTCAAAGTCCCATAACTCTTACAAATATTGATGGATTTCACTGTGACGTCTTATGAATATAAAGCCACTGACCAGATTCAGTGAGGATCTAACAACATATACACCAATTATTATGCAGAAAACAAAAATGGTTGGATAAACTGATCACTACAGGGCATCCACCTCTCAAAGTGGGGCTCTAAATATCTCAAATATCAACCAGTTAAAAAAAGTAGTTCATCAACCTACCTCTCTTTTTGATTTCTTTAACGTATGGTGCTGTCGATGCCAAGACAAAATCAGGGGCATAGCCCATTTCCTGTAACAAAATTTATACTTTGTTATGCATTGAGTCCATGTTTCTTTAATAATATTTTTCTTTAAGCTTCAGTTTTGATTTGATAAATAAATCTGTTACCAAAGCAACGGGTACTTTACGGAGTGATACTGATAAATATGGCACTCTTTTCCTCACACCCCCCTTGTCCCCTAGTTTTTGTCAGCAAATGAATACCAAACAGTTATTTGAGAAGCCAGAAAATGTTTCTGTATTTATTCACCATGTGATCGAAAGGTACAAAGATATCATGGCAATGTCTGATTGCAGTTACAAAACCTTTTTGATCATCTTGACTCGTATCTCAAAGGTGGGTATAGTTTTGTGAGGGAAATAATAAGTGATATTAACTTCAGAACCTAGAACAGTTAAATAAAACAGGAAGTTAAAATACAGTCACAAAACAGGATATTATAACACAGTTACAATACAAGAAGTTATAATACAGTCACAAAACAGGAAGTTATAATACAGTCACAATACAGGAAGTTATTATACAGTCACAAAACAGGAAGTTACAATACAGTCACAAAACAGGATATTATAACACAGTTAAAATACAGGAAGTTATAATACAGTCACAAAACAGGAAGTTATAATACAGTCACAAAACAGGAAGTTATAATACAGTCACAATACGGGAAGTTATTATACAGTCACAAAACAGGAAGTTATTATACAGTTACAATACAGGAAATTATAATACAGTTACAATACAGGAAGTTATAATACAGTCACAAAACAGGAAGTTATAATACAGTCACAAAACAGGGAGTTATAATACAGTCACAATACAGGAAGTTATAATACAGTCACAAAACAGGAAGTTATAATACAGTCACAAAACAGGAAGTTATTATACAGTTACAATACGGGAAGTTATTATACAGTCACAAAACAGGAAGTTATTATACAGTTACAATACAGGAAATTATAATACAGTTACAATACAGGAAGTTATAATACAGTCACAAAACAGGAAGTTATAATACAGTCACAAAACAGGGAGTTATAATACAGTCACAATACAGGAAGTTATAATACAGTCACAAAACAGGAAGTTATAATACAGTCACAAAACAGGAAGTTATTATACAGTTACAATACAGGAAATTATAATACAGTCACAAAACAGGAAGTTATTATACAGTCACAATACGGGAAGTTATTATACAGTTACAATACAGGAAGTTATTATACAGTTACAATACAGGAAATTATAATACAGTCACAATACAGGAAGTTATTATACAGTTATCATCTTGAATTGTATCTAGAGGTGGGCATAGTGTTATGAGGAAAATAACAAGTGATATTATCTTTATCTGAATTAGGCCTAAAACAGTCACAATACAAAAAGTTATAATACAGATACAATTGAGGAAGTAATTATTACTTACAGGATTTTTCGTTTTTGCTGCAGTCATTAGCGACATTGTGATTTCTGACAAGTAATCCGACACTAAGTAGTCAATTTTACCTCCATAAATTAACTGTGGGGCTAAAAATATAAAATAAGAAATGAGTTAATTTGATATGATTACATTTCCAGTGTGTATTACAAATTTGACCTTACCAAATAAAATTGATGTTTACACTTTGGTAAATGTCAAGTTTGACAACCTCTCCAGTCAAAATGGAATCATCTATTTTGCTATTTTGCACTAATGTATAATATTCATTGAATTATGATTATTTTTTCTTTAATTTTAGAAGCAAAGATTAAGAAAATTGTCAAAATACAAATTTAAGAGATAATTTTTTTTTTTTTCACTTTTGTATAGAGAGCATTTTTTTTTAGATATTTCAACATAAATGTTTTGTAAAAAAAGCATTTTCTTAAATAAATTTCATTTTACTGTGTTCTTTTGATGACAATTGCTTTCATAATCATATGGGAAATTTTCGTAGGAAATCAAAGATGCTAAAAGTTGTTTAATGAAAATAATTGATAATGAAATTCTAATATTTAATTCTGCATTATTTTTACAACAATGGAAATAAATTAGAACTACACAAGATGTTGGTTGGCTTTCCATCAGACATGGCCTTATTCCTGGATAAATATGGTAATTTTCAACAACTGTCTGCATCCAATATAAATGAACAGTGCATCCTCTGTATACAAAAAAAAACTTATTGACGATATATACATGTTTCAAGAGGAGTTAGCCTGAACACTGTTGTAATGGACTTGATATCAATGCCAGTTGTGTTGTAGTTTAATATGATTGTTATACAGTATCTCAGGAGACCTAGAGATTGAAATCATTTGTTTAGGAAGGAGGAAGTGAGGATTTATCTTTTTTGTTATACTTTAGAGTTTGGTGTCCTAATATCAGTATTGCCTCAGTATCATGCAGCCCCTCACTATTTCCCCAAATTATTTAATTCAAGCGTGTGTACAGCTTCGGTTATTAAAATTCCTTTAAAATTTATCAACTTGTCATATTATAGTTTACACATCATACATGTATATTTAGGATGGTCGGAGTACATGCATGTGATATCTATCTGTGGTCTTAATTTTTGTCACTCGGACTAAATACCGATATTAAATAAGAAATGAAATATCAATAACAATTCCTTGTTAAAATGACAAGTTTGTGCGTGTGTTTAAATTGTATGTACTCCATAACTGGAGTTGTCACGTAAATTTCATTGGACTGGACTTTGAACAGAAGTTAGGCAAGCTAGTCCCAGGGCAGGTAGCCGGTTAGTTTAGCCGGTAGAAAAGACAGTTACCAGAAACTGCCGTATCACCCCAGAATCCCGACGAGCATCCTATTCGGACAGTACTTCCATTTAATCCTTTACAGTATCTACGGTTAAATGGAACATAGTACGATATCACAGGCGATGAAGGGCGAAGCAAGCCGCTTAATTTCCCGAGGCGGTGAATGCGAGCAGCCATTTTCCCGATTTGTTTGTAAATACCACCTAACCGGAAACAGTAGTTTGCACTTGCGTATTGCATCACATGATAATCCGTCACTTTGCAAGATGGAGGAGAGAGGAAAGGCGCATACGTCAAAGATTCAATCATTTCCTGTGTTTTGATTCTGTCTTTTTCCCCATATCTTGGGGTGTGAATTTTCCCTCCAGGAAACACCCCCTTCAAGTAGCCATGGCTGCAATATCAGAGACGGTTTATGGAACTATCGAGGAAGGACATGTTATGTCCGAGAAGGTATCGTCTCTTGCTACCAACGTTTACAAAGAATTTGAACGTATGATCAAGAAATACGACGAAGATGTTGTGAAGGAACTTATGCCATTGACTGTTGCCCTTCTCGAAGGATTAGATCAAGCACTAAACGACAAACAGGAAAGTGAAGTTGAGCTAGAACTGCTAAGGGATGATAATGAACAGCTGCTTACTCAGTATGAGAGAGAAAAACAGCTCCGGAAAGCTGCTGAACAGGTACAGATAAATTATGATGCACACAGTCTGTAATGTATTTACCCTATTATAATTCATTTTAGATGTCTTCAAAAGTGATTATCTGCCAAAAGTTTCAGAACATACAAAATGACACACATATTGATCATGCATTCTGAATAAATTAATATTTTTACATCACATTATGCCCAGAAGACGAAGAGATCTAAGCATTAAACAAGGACGATTTTTTTTGTAATGCCTATGCTTCAATAATTGCACAAAAATGTGTATGTCCTCTAAATGTCTCTTTACTAATATTATACTGGTATCTAACATATATTGATTATTGAACTCCTAGTTTGTAATTGTATAACATAATTATGTGTATCATTTCCAAAATATTGAAATGAAACTAAAATTTATGCCCTAAATTGTTTTTATAACGTTCAATTATGCCAAAGCTACAGAAAGATATAAATCTATGAAAGATTTCATTTGTACCCCACCCATAATGATCAGCAAACTATATGCTACAACTGTTAATGAAAAGTGAAAAAAAAAAAACGTGTAAGCTGACACTAACGAGTCACAACTCATCTGATGTTGAATACATATTACTATGTATACTATGTAGGTGAAAGTGATGAAAAAATTCTCTTTAGTTTAGATATTGCTACTGCCCGTGCAACATATATTAAATCATATCAAACAATAAAGAATGTTTAACAAATAGGACATAGTGATGATGATGATGATGATGATGATGATGATGATGATGATGATGATATTTTGTTTAAACAATATTTGTGTAGGATACATATATAGCATTCAAAGTATGTTTTTGTTTAGAACTCTGAAAACTATGTATGCATAGTCATGACTGATATAACATTACATGCGTGCTGTACATGTACTGTGTGGAAGTACTACAGTACATCAATAAGGACGAATGGAAGCGCACGTTTCCATTTGTTTATGTTGGATACTGTGTAGATTTTTCAAAATGTGTGTTAATGAACACCTACATATTCTATAGCAGAGAATTTTTCCCCTTTTCAAGCTGAAATATTTACATTTCAACATTTATGCAACACTCAAAAAATTTTGGACTGAACTCCAGGGTCCTGATCATTTGTTTCCAAAATTGAAAGAAAGGACTTATCCAAATTTGGCAGAAGAAAAATCATTTACATCATTGGTTGAATTAGTCTGAAATAATTGTAAAACCACATAAGTTCAACATGACGTCAGGTGAGAAATTAAAGACATTATCACTGGATTTTTTGACAGAAATACCTTGAGATGGAGGATGGTGTAGAGGGCCAGAAAAAAGAGCATGAAGAAAAAGTGGAAAGCATGGAGTCTATAATCCGCATGCTGGAGCTTAAGTCCAAGAATGCAACAGATCATGGTATATATATGTAGAGGATCTTATATGAGTTTCCATTAACATGAGATTGATAAAACAAGTCTTACAAGTTTTCATTTATTAAGCCTCTGGTGAGGGTAAGTAAACATTTCATGACAAGTTTCGCATATATCCTGTGAAATAGAAACAAGTGTAAGATTCTGTTTATCACATAACTTATATACTTTTGCAACATGAGCACTTTTTAAAGATTTTGGACCAGCAAGTCCTAAACTTCTTGTTTTTGAAAAGGGTGAGTCAAAAACAAAATCAGTGAGTATCAGGTGAAATACTTCATCTATCACAGTCAAACAATGGCAGACATGCATGTTTACGATATGAATAGCTTTGTGTTACTTACAAGAAGAAATAATATGAGACTATAAGAACATAATGGTGACCACTTTGTAAGAAAGTGTGTGGCTTATATTCCGATTCAGCAAATATATGGATCCAATTGAAAAAAAAGCTAAGAATCGACTCTGCAGCTTATTTACTGGTGCAACTTATAACCCTGAAAATACAGTCGGCAAATGTGTACCTCAACATGATAGTCAGACCAAGTACCCCTTATTAATTGACATGTGGTTTTACTTTATCGTCTGGATGTGTATTAAGTAATTAATTAGTGTTGGCTGATGACCATACTGACATCATGCTTGACCTCTCATTTGTACACCTTTGTTGACCGGTTTACCTGTGCACCTTGGTAAGGAAGGCTCACTTGTATATTGTCCACCGTTTTTTATCACATCTCGCTAGACTTCCCGCAGGCTGTGAGACTTTGCTGTAATACTATCTGCAGCAGGGATGTGTCCTCGTACACATTCTCTCAAGAAATGGTATATCCGGACTGATTTCTGTGCACACAGGACTCAAAATTTTGAATATTGATGTCACAATGCATACATGTATACGGTTTTGCAACTTCGTATTGAATGTGTGCCATAACAAAACAAACATACATTATGGTGTCAAGACAAGTAGCCAAAGAACCAAGAATCCACCCACAGACAACCCAGTGTTGGCTCTCTTCCCCCTCTTAAAAAATATATAGTGGATGTTGTTACACTGATATTAAGGTAGTTAAACACTTCAATGATAACAAATTGTCATGGTAAAGAAAAAGCACTCAATAATTATATCAAGTGTTTATATAACACATTGAAAAAACAAGGAATCTATCAAATCACTTGTTTTGGACCTCTCAAACGCATTCATAATTCAGTTGTCAAAAATTTGTCACTTCACCACCAAACAGAATACTGAGCTATATACACTTAAAATGCTTTTCAATGGTAAACACGGACCCAGCTCTGCCAGTGATAAGAAATATACTTGGTGGTTGTCCTAACTTTCTGTTCTAAATCTAATTTCAGTTGCAAGAATGGAAGAGAAGGATAGTGAATGGAAGAAAGAATACACGAAACTCCACGAAAGATACACAGAGGTAAATTATTCTATACTAGTCATTAATTCTTATACCCAAACCAATAATTCAAGGGTCAGTTATACACAGAACTAAACAAAGGAAGAAGAATGAAGGATGGAAGTGACAAAGGGCACATACAGGACAAGATATAGGGGACTTATTAATTGTTTAGAGGTAGTGCAATTACTTACTGAGGTGAAGGCTCAGCTAGCTGGGTGAATGTGATGAAGGCTCAGCTAGCTGGGTGAATGTGATGAAGGCTCAGCTAGCTGGGTAAATGTGATGAAGGCTCAGCTAACTGGGTGAATGTGATGAAGGCTCAGCTAACTGGGTGAATGTGATGAAGGCTCAACTAGCTGGGTGAATGTTATGAAGTCTCAGCTAACTGGGTGAATGTGATGAAGGCTCAGCTAACTGGGTGAATGTGCTAAGGTAGGGAGATTTATTTCCATGTATTTAGAAAATATAAAAGCAACTGGTTTCCTAAATTGTTTTGTGTAACTGTAGCGATTAACAGTATTTGTAAACAATTTGTTGTGGTGTACAAATATTTTAACATTCTTTTACCATTGTCTCTTAACTTGTTTCTTGTTTCCAGTTGTTCCGAACTCATATGGACCAAATGGAACGTACAAAGATATTAATGGGTACGGATAAACTGGAGTTGTCCAACAGTCCCCGTAACAAGTAAGTACATATTGATGGGTACAGATAAAATGGAGTTGTCCAATAGTCCCCGTAACAAGTAAGTACATATTGATGGGTACAGATAAAATGGAGTTGTCCAACAGTCCCCGTAACAAGTAAGTACATATTGATGGGTACAGATAAAATGGAGTTGTCTAACAGTCCCCGTAACAAGTAAGTACATATTGATGGGTACAGATAAACTGGAGTTATCAAACAGTCCCCGTAACAAGTAAGTACATATTGATGGGTACAGATAAACTGGAGTTATCAAACAGTCCCCGTAACTAGTAAGTACATATTGATGGGTACAGATAAACTGGAGTTATCAAACAGTCCCCCTAACAAGTAAGTACATATTGATGGGTACAGATAAACTGGAGTTGTCCATTAGTCCCCGTAACAAGTAAGTACATATTGGTGGGTACAGATAAAATGGAGGTACCTAACAATCCTTGTCAACATTTTACATTTCAAAATGGAGATTGAAGAAATCAAATTACTGAGTTTAAACCATGAAGATGGTTAGATACACATTTATTATAGTAGAAGGAATGCTCATGTGTGATTCTTGGATTTAATTTGAAAATTTCAGCAGAGGTGTATAGGGAATAAAGGCAGTTGATCATTAGGTACATTTCAATAACCATTTTGATAAAGATAAGACATATATAGTAAACATGTTTAAACATGGAATAATTCTGTTAAAGATTTTCTGTTGAAAACCTCAAGGTTTTATCAGAAGTATACTAAATTCTTGATATATGAATCCACCGAGCAGATTTTTTTATGTTTAACAGAGGCTTTCAACTCCCAAATCTCCGACCAGTCAGCATGGTCATAACAGGTCAGAACTTGACCCCACTGAGGTCAAGTGGAACTCCTCCAAGTCTGAACAGCCTTGACATCATGTCTCCACGTACCCCAGCTGACTCTAACATCAGTCTGAAGAGTGAGCTTGGCGACCTCGACTCACCTGATGTCACTGATAAACGACGCTCAGGCAAGAAGGTTGGCACATGTGACAAGGAACAGCTGACAGACAATATTATGGTGAAAGAGTTTGGTACCACGCCAAGTAAGTCACTGCTGTGTAGCTTTGTTTGTACTGTAAGACTCTGACATACAACCTTTCCACTCTCATTGAATTTTCACTGAAGAATCACAGAGTTTGTAGATAGTGGTATCTCATCTAGTTGTGATCATCCATTTTGTGGAATCTGCATGTTCTTAAATGTGAAGTTAAAATGCTTGTTAGTGAAAACTTTGATAAAAATTTATCCAGTGGTATTTCTTTTGATACATATTTTGCTCTCTATACTACTGCTGATTTTGTTCTTCCTTCAACTTACTTTTACATACTTCATTTACATATTTTCTCAATGATATACTGAGATATTTGTAAAAGTTTAGTTGACATGTCACGTTTACCTTGGTAGTAGTTGTACCGGTATATAATAATGATGAAAAGTTCAGAATAAAAATATTGTAAATTCTGCCTCACAGAAATGTCTGATTTGTTAAATCCTCAGAGACACACACATTCTTCACTCATTTGATACATGAATGACTCCAGGCAAAAGTAAATAAAACATAGGATTTACTTACATCGATCCTAACAATATACAGATAATTATTTTGAATATTCCATGGCAGCAAACATTGATTTTGTTATCCCAATGAAATTACCATCTGTTTCTTGTTCATTTTGATGGCATTCATCCATTCGTATAACAAAAGCAACCAGACAACTTTCAGAAATTGTGAACAGAAAAAAATAAGATATTTCATAATGTTATAGAAAATCTAGTTATAACTTTAGCACCATGAAAGTTGTCCTTAGTGTGTCTGTTGCTGGTAAATCACCTCTTTCTGAGATGGTTTGATTCCTGATACAGTGGAATGATCTGTGTTACGTTCACATGGTGGTGGTTGCCCATTTCACAATTCCCTGTCTGTATGGCAACTGTAGGTTTTTACATGTCAGCAAATGCTTTGTATCTTTTATGCCTCTGTAGTATTGATTTCATTTTGATTTAAATCAAACTTCTATTTCAAGTCATGTTAGCCAGAAATGATGCCCCCCCTCCTCTCCCTCAATTTTTTTTAATTTTTAGTGAGGCTAATGGCAGTAGTTTGAATTATTCTAATATCAATGATATTGAAGCATCAGTTTATAATCTGGTAAACTTTCAAAAGTTTGATGTAAGGAAGGATTGATGTTCTTTTTTGGAAGAGGTTATGAATTAGATACCTATTTTTATTGAATGAATAGATAAGTACAGGTGGAGTTACAGTGTAAATTAAGAAATGCTCTACAGACAGGTCTGAATGTGCTTTGCTGACATGGCTGTTGCACCATAAGATCACTGTTAATGATACCATTTGATGTCATTACAGCCTAAACATGCCTTTCAGAAACCTTTTCTTTATCCATATTTTCAGTTTTGAATTTTTCCCTTTTAGCTTTTTGTATTGCTTTTGATTTTTGCATGTTATCAGTGGTTTTGTGTCTTGTTATTCTGATATTAGAGGACGGCACACAATCCAACACTTCAGAAATCCCCACAAGTGTTCAAATAAACGGTGTTACAGACTCTGAACCTAGTAAAAGTGATATAGACAATTCTAGTCAGGACAATGGGAGGCCAGAGTCTCATATTGCTGGGAGTGGAGAAGTTGAACCAAACCACACAGACCCACCACATGATATAGATAGGGCGGAAAATTCCCAACCAAGCCATTCAGTAGAGACGATAGTGTGTGATAAAGCATTAGTGGCACCTTCATCTGATACAACAGCATCATCCATCATTCTTTCACATGGAAAAGATAATTCTGTGATAAATACTACACCTGAAAAAATGGACCCACATGTAGCCACCTCCACACCCCAGAGTGGTACTGAGGACGAGAGAATCAGGTTTGATAGCATAGATCATGAGGAGGCTGAATTTGAGGAGGACAGAATCCCGGGTAAGTTTCCAAGGTGATTCAAGAACAGGCCACAATTTGTGAGAGTTATCTGCTTCTGGTGTTTTTTTGTGTTGTGATGTGTGGTAGCTTATTTGTTTCTCTGTAAACTTGTGTAACTGCCATACTTGTTTACAGCACACATTTCTCTTTCTAAAGCACCTTCATCATCAAAGCTAGTTTTCAGGACCACAGACTGTTTTTGATTACTTTTGTCTTCTTCCAAGATCACTGTTGGGTTTCTGTAATATTTTGATGACCTTGACCTTCCTAAATTAAACTGTCCAGAATAAGGAGCATCATATACCTTGTTAATCTGACAGATATGAATCATAGAAGTTATATATTGTATGGTTCTTGTATTCTGTTATCTCTGCATGGTTCCAAAACTGTCTCTGTGATATTATCAGGAATTAGATGGGGTAGAGTTTACTGTACATAAGACTTCATTTTCAATATAACCTTTATTTTGATTGACTCAATCTGATTGGTTCTGTTTCCATGGTAAACGCTGAGGCTGGTATAAACCACCACAGTTTTATCACACTGTTTGGAATGTTTGAATTTTGAACTTCTCATTCCTGTATTTTTCCCATATATGTATAAATAAACTCAAAAACAGTCTGTGCTCATGCTATAGTTATTTGGGTGGGGTATTTAATCCTGACTCTGGTAATATCCACAATTTTTCCTTTATTGAATGCTTCCAATTTGGAACCTGCTGTTTGGTAAGTACACTGTGGGTTTGACTTGTGATAATTTGTTGAATGTCTGATGGCGTGACTTGTGCATTGCCTTATTTATAACAGTACATCATAGTGTCATAAAATCTACTGAACAGGCATGTCATCTCGACCATGGCCATGATCATTCGCTAGAAGTATGAACACAAATGTCTTGGAATATATTTTGACTGTAATTGGTGCTGAAAAGTGATGGATGTCTTCATGTATATGACATTTTTACCTCTCATTACATGTTAGGTCGTTAATGTCATGTGTGGTTTTTTTTTTTTAACACAGGCTTGGATACAACTATTGCTCATATAGTGGCCACAACACCAGAGCTACAGGAATTAGAAGAGTCTATTGAAAGTCAGACCCCAGACAGTGGTGTTAGGAGATCTCTCAGTAGGTAGGTACAACAAGACAGTGGTGTTAGGAGATTTCTCAGTAGGTAGATACAACAAGACAGTGGTGTTAGGAGATCTCTCAGTAGGTAGGTACAACAAGATAGTGGTGTTGGGAGATCTCTCAGTAGGTAGTTACAACAAGACAGTGGTGTTAGGAGATCTCTCAGTAGGTAGGTACAACAAGACAGTGGTGTTAGGAGATCTCTCAGTAGGTAGGTACAACAAGACAGTGGTGTTGGGAGATCTCTCAGTAGGTAGGTACAACAAGACAGTGGTGTTGGGAGATCTCTCAGTAGGTAGGTACAACAAGACAGTGGTGTTGGGAGATCTCTCAGTAGGTAGGTACAACAAGACAGTGGTGTTAGGAGATCTCTCAGTAGGTAGGTACAACAAGACAGTGGTGTTAGGAGATCTCTCAGTCAACAAGACAGTGGTGTTAGGAGATCTCTCAGTAGGTAGGTACAACAAGACAGTGGTGTTAGGATCTCTCATCTCTCAGTAGGTAGGTACAACAAGACAGTGGTGTTAGGAGATCTCTCAGTAGGTAGGTACAACAAGACAGTGGTGTTAGGAGATCTCTTAGTAGGTAGGTACAACAAGACAGTGGTGTTAGGAGATCTCTTAGTAGGTAGGTACAACAAGACAGTGGTGTTAGGAGATCTCTCAGTAGGTAGGTACAGCAAGATAGTGGTGTTAGGAGATCTCTCAGTAGGTAGGTACAACAAGACAGTGGTGTTAGGAGATCTCTCAGTAGGTAGGTACAACAAGACAGTGGTGTTAGGAGATAGCTCTCAGTAGGTAGGTACAACAAGACAGTGGTGTTAGGAGATCTCTCAGTAGGTAGGTACAACAAGACAGTGGTGTTAGGAGATCTCTCAGTAGGTAGGTACAACAAGACAGTGGTGTTAGGAGATCTCTCAGTAGGTAGGTACAACAAGACAGTGGTGTTAGGAGATCTCTCAGTAGGTAGGTACAACAAGATAGTGGTGTTAGGAGATCTCTCAGTAGGTAGGTACAACAAGACAGTGGTGTTAGGAGATCTCTCAGTAGGTAGGTACAACAAGATAGTGGTGTTAGGAGATCTCTCAGTAGGTAGGTACAACAAGACAGTGGTGTTAGGAGATCTCTCAGTAGGTAGGTACAACAAGACAGTGGTGTTAGGAGATCTCTCAGTAGGTAGGTACAACAAGACAGTGGTGTTAGATCTCTCAGTAGGTAGGTACAACAAGATAGTGGTATTAGGAGATCTCTTAGTAGGTGGGTACAACAAGACAGTGGTGTTAGGAGATCTCTCAGTAGGTGGGTACAACAAGATTGTGGTGTAAAGAGATCTCTCAGTAGATAGGTACAACAAGACAGTGGTGTTAGGAAATCTCTCAGTAGGTAGGTACAACAAGATTGTGGTGTAAAGAGATCTCTCAGTAGATTGGTACAACAAGACAGTGGTGTTAGGAGATCTCTCAGTAGATAGGTACAACAAGACCGAGATGTTAGGAGATCTCTCTGTAGGGCGATAATGTAACTTTGACAGTAACATAAAGAAAATTATATTCTTACTTATATTAAGGGTCTCCTGCTCTACCACATGATTTACAAAATGTCTTCTCATTAAGAGAGAACCAGATAAGTAACAAGATTACAAGGCATACTAATATTGTACCAGTAAGTAGAATATCTATGGAATGAATTTGCATAGCTAACGGACAGATGTGTAAGGAAGTCTATCAGAAACAACAATCAATTTTCAAGAATTTATAGATTTTCCTAAGATGATATTTTCCTCTGATCTGAACATAAAACAAAATAGGAATGGTTTTTTGTATGTTGTTTAGATAAGAAAGAAGCACAATTAACTACCGTAAATTTGAGGATATAGTGCGCAAATATGTTTATAGGGTCAGATTTAAAAAAAAAAAAGGAAGTATACATATATATATATATATATATAAATATTGATTGCCGGTTATCGTGGTGCATCCGTTGATGTTTTGATTCTTCAATAATTAGGAAACCACAATGAACGTGACCCTAACGCATTTAATTATCTTATATTGACAAATTCGTGCAAGTGCCTGACTTAACAAGGCGAGAAGGCTAGGCTAATTGGATAATTAACAGTTATTAACAGGTATTATGTTGAGTATGACAAAATTTGTGACACCCAGCTTGGGCTGAACGCGTGCAATTGGTCAGAAAACGATGTTGTAACAAAAGTGATGGGTGACTGTGTTTAGTGTAAAGTAACTTCAATACTATGAACTGCTTCCTACTTAGTTCTCTATGGAATTATCAATCATAAGTTTGTTTTTTATGTATAACAAATAATGAATTGCATTAAAACATTCAAAATTTATTTTATTCTTTGTTGTATTTATCTTCAATCTATCATATATGACAGACAACTCTAAATATAACTATTTGAAGGGAGGTAATCCAATATGGCGGACAGAGAACTCCAGAATGATAACCCCAAGAATGGCACGTTCCTGCGTATAGTACGCAGGCCCTTTTTGACAGGACAGTTTTTGCCTAAAAATGTGCACACTACACACGGAAATTTACAGTGTGTCTAAAACATAAACATGTTTATTTTCCAGGAGAAACAACGATTCTATCTTTGACGAATTGAACGTGCAGGATGTAGAATTAGGGGACGACTTTGGAATAACCGGTAAGTTACAAGGCATGTTTTTGTGGTCTGTTTTGTATCTATGATCTGACTTTATTAGGATTATCTTTGCCTCTTTCAGGTTTTCAGAAGATCGTTTGTTAAATCTGTACAAATACTGGATTCTAGAGCTCAATTTAAAGATTTGCAAATAATGAGTCATTACATATAGTTGTCTCAGACTTGTCCTGTAATCAGGTAAAATCTACCGATATTTTAGATTTTCAGTTTTAAGATGATAGTACAAGTGTTGCTGGCCTGCTTGGAGGCCAGCAAGAAAACTACATTGTAAATATACAGTAAAACAGCCTGTGTCGACAGGACCAAAGGAAATATTGGACTTTTGTGCTGGTTCAACTTAGCTATGTTTCTATGAATGGAGAAATTTTACATCAAAGATTGACCCTATTTTCATCTGTTGTTTACCGGATGTTTCTCATAGCATGACGTGACAGTAATGAATAGGTAATAAATGAACAAAAATACTTGGTAATTCTTTACCCTAATGATTTCTTTAATTAATCAGTTATAAGTATGGAAATAAAACAAAAAACGTAATGTGAAACCCTCACCATTGAATTGCAGCACACGCGTTGATACACACCCACTCTCATACACATAACTTAGTGACATCGATACCTAAAGTAATAAAAATACTGTACTTACATTTATATCCTTAAGTGTAACAAGTCCCGTCAACAGTATTTCAGGATAAAATTCTATAGATATGTACTCATGAACTTTTTACATAGATATAATCTTGATTTGCACTGAGGTGGGTTATGAAAAGGTAAAGGCAACGTCACTGAAGCGTAACTTTATGCGTACAACATCGTAAGAGCATAAGCATGAAATAGAATCAAATAAAACTTGAACTTTGTATTCAAAATCATAAGCAAATGTGTCAATGACAAACTAGTATTTTTATCAATCTGTCTTGGTGTGGTAGAAGGGATGGACCACAAAACATTTTCAACACAAACACAGCAGTCGACTCAATATAGTTCAGATTATCTGGGTTTATAATTTTCTGAGATAAAGAAGAGAAAAAGTTTGGACTGAACAAAATATTCAATTTATCTGATGTATTTGATTCAAGTGTGTTTGGTACAAGTGAATTTTACTGTAAAATGTTTACATGCAGATTTTGATACATATGTCCTGTGATATAGCAAAGATGAAATAAGATCTCCTTTTTGGCAGTATGGCTGCTCTCTCTGTTAAAATTATCATTTATAGAAGTAAGGAAAAAAAAAAACATACACAGTTGAAGACTGGACTTCTGTTGCTACATTTGATTCTTCAATTCAATTGTTAGAGAACAAAACAAGTAGTTTTCTTTTATCTCTCAAAGCTTTGGTTTAAATATTTCAATTGTATCAAAATAATTTGTATTTATGTAAATCTTAGTCTAGATTCACAAGTTTCTATGACTTTTTTATTTAAGCTTTAGCCAGAAGTACTGATCTAGTATATATATACCTATACTCAACTCTATATAGTGGTGTATATTCTCTATGGGATACTGACACTGGTGTCTTTGATGTGCCTTATATATCTATGTAATGAATTATTTTACTAGTTATTGTGTAGAGATGAATATCCAGTTATGATTAGAGAAATCATTGTTTAGTGAAGCCTAAAACCAAACCTTACTGCAGGATTTAACACTTACTTTTGATCATTTTTATTGAAGAAAGTCTAAAAGAAATTGAAAACATTTGAATATACATTGAACCTTCAGTCAGAACTGTTCTTAATAGTTTGTCCCTTCCAACCAATATTTCTTGTTATCATATTTCTAAGTTAGCCATCTGCTACGAACTTCTACACATGAAATCATGATATTCAGAGATTTAAAAAAAAAAGGGGGGGGGGGGGGGGGGTTTCTAACTGATATGTTAGTAGTCTGAATTTCTCCATTTCAGTATGTGTGGTGAACTATAGAGTCTATTACCTTTAACATGACGTGTGACCTTGAATGTAAATCCCGTTGGTATCGTCAGTTTCTATCATTGGTGATATAGCCGTACTAGTACTGTTGTATGTAATACTTTTGTAGGGTTTTTTCTGTGGTTTAGAGACATTTTCCCTAAACTTCCAGTCACTTTTCGCCATCATGATTGAAGTAACAAGCAATGTCACACACATGATAAACATTATCTGGACAGCTTGACACATGTTTTAACTTAAAAATATTATGTAGTATGCGATCACTAAGTAAACATTGGCTCTATTGTCAATCCAAGGGAGAGAAGTTACCCCCGGGGACTATTCCTCGTCAGGTGAGATAAACTACAAACGACACAGAACCTGTATGTGTCGTGGAATGTATTAGCCCTACCTGTGTACTTTCTGTTTTCGTTATACATTCTCTGTTTGTTACTGTATGCTGTTTCTCTTTGTCTTAGTTTTTGAATATGTTTGATTCATGGATTTTTATTTATCGTAGATTTAACATTTTGAAGTATTACTGCATGTATATAGATGTATATCTCCAACTAATACTATTAACTACATGTGAAACTTCTGTCATGTGCAGATTGTTTTTCTGTCATTAAATTCATTTGGAGCAAAAATCTGGTCTTATCTTTAAGTAAACATTTTTCCATCCAAGTTGATGAAAAAATATCTGAAAGAATATAAAAACTAGATTATTAAATTCCATATGAAACAGAAATAGATTAATGTCTGTACTTTGTTACAATAAAGAAATGTTGTAAAATCCTGGGAATGGAGGGGTTAGGGTTCAAAAGAAAAATGGGATCAAATATTTAGCTTTTTAAAGGAGCAGCAATTTTCAAATAGCAAATTGAAAATATTTCTGCCATGTAAAGAACATCCTTTAGTTACAGATGGAACTAGGACCAGTATTTTATACTAACAAATATTTTCTCTGCTTAATCTATATCATACTACATCAGAATGTGTTGCTGGATAGTTTCTGTATCATACTCTGAAAACAGAAATATATGGTTGGTTCATTCCTGCATCATACTCTAATAACAAAAATGTTTACTGGTACTATTTAATCATCTTTTTTTTTTCTTTTTATATATTTATATATATATATATATATTTTTTTTTTTGCATGTTTTTTAATCATATATAAATTTAATAGTACAATTTTAAAAATTAACAGTTAGGATGTTCTATTCCATAATCAGCCATTGAAATTGCAGAGTACCTGTCTGTTTGTGTTAATGATCAAAAGTACTTTTCAATTCAATGTTGGTCAAATATGTTATTTGAACTAATGATACTTTTTAAAGTAAAATCACTAATACACATTTTATGAATATTCTTGTAAACGACGATGAATGAAAAAGTATTCATTGTTTAAAAAGCAACCTCGGAAACGATTAGATCTAAACATTGAAACAAACATTAGATGGACCACGAATAATACCATGTTTAATTAAACCTAAGACTGTGTGTAGTATCATGTGAAAACAAACCTTGGACAGATCATTTATAATATCCCATTAAAACAGCCATCAGACAGATAATGAATGATATTTTATTGAAGCAAACTTTAGACAGACCATGTGTAATACCCCATTAAAACAAACCTTAGACAGACCATGTGTAAAACCCCATTAAATCAAGTCTTAGATGGACCATGTGTAATACCCCATTAAAACAAACCTTCGACAGACCATGTGTAAAACCCCATTAAAACAAACCTTAGACAGACCATGTGTAATACCCCATTAAATCAAGTCTTAGACAGACCATGTTTAAAACCCCATTAAATCAAGTCTTAGACAGACCATGTGTAATACCCCATTAAATCAAGTCTTAGACAGACCATGTTTAAAACCCCATTAAATCAAGTCTTAGACAGTCCATGTGTAATACCCCAATAAAACAAATCTTAGACAGACCATGTGTTAAACCCCATTAAAAAAAACCTTAGACAGTCCATGTGTAATACCCCATTAAAACAAACCTTAGACAGACCATGTGTAATACCACATTAAATCAAACCTTGGACAGACCATGTGTAAAACCCCATTAAATCAAGTCTTAGACAGACCATGTTTCATATCCTGTAAAACAAACCTTAGACGGGTTATTTGTGATGCCTGATTAAAAAAAAGCCATCGAGAGACCATTTGTATTAAACTGCTAAAACAAACCTTAGACTGACCAGTTATATTAACCAATTAAAGCAAACCTTAGACTGACCAGTTATATTAACCAATTAAAGCAAACCTTAGACTGACCAGTTACAAGAACACCCAATTAAAAGAACCTAAGCCATACCTTGTGTAATACCCCATTAAAACAAACCTTTGACAAACCATAGTGATAAGTATTTACTTCATTAGAAATAACTTTACACATAATGTGAAGTATTTGCTTCAGTAGAAATAGCTTTACACATAATGTGAAGTATTTGCTTCAGTAGAAATAACTTTATACATAATGTGAAGTATTTGCTTCAGTAGAAATAACTTTATACATAATGTGAAGTATTTATTCATTAGAAATAACTTTCTACATAATGTGAAGTATTTGCTTCAATAACTTTACACATAATGTGAAGTATTTGCTTCAGTAGAAATAACTTTATACATAATGTGAAGTATTTACTTCATTAGAAATAACTTTCTACATAATGTGAAGTATTTGCTTCAGTAGAAATAACTTTACACATAATGTGAAGTATTTGCTTCAGTAGAAATAACTTTACTAATGTTAAGTATTTACTTCATAACTTTATACATAATGTGAAGTATTTGCTTCAGTAGAAATAACTTTACACATAACTTCATTCCAATAGTTCCTATTGATTTCAATATCATGATTAGGTCATTATATTATCAATGAAAGAATTTATGAAGTTAAGATCTTTTTTCATATATTTTTCCTTTTGGAATTCAAATTTACTCCAAACTTCTTACCAGTAGTCAATTTTACTCCAAATTAGACAATAATGTTTTACATAACAGTTCCACAGGAATTAGAATGTCATCCTGAATTTTCGACTTTAGAACTTTAGAATTTCTGTGTTGTTCTTTATTTATTTCAAGCCTGTATTTAAGATTTAGTAAAAAAAAAAAAATAAATGTCTTTAAAAACAAAGAGCATGTTGCACTGTTATGTTTATGTTGCTTTGTGTATATGATGAGTTGATTTAGCATGTTTCTGTTTCCTTGTGAATGTTGTGGGCCTACAGACAGTGATGAGGAAAACGAGAGGCATTCCACTGGTACGGAACAATTGTTTCTCTATCATTATCTCATTGTCTCTGCCACACATCCTCTCATCTGTCACTCTTACATTAGCCCTATCATCTTTTAAACAGATCTGTGTCATTTAGATTGCTTGAATGATGAATAGCATTATGAATTAATTAAATTTTGATCACAGTATGAAATGTTTTCAACATAATTATAACATTTGTGTAGATATTGTAAGTAATTGAGATCTTATTATGTCACTTGAATCAAAGTCTCAGGGTGACCTGTTGCGATCTCCTTTTGTCCAGCGTCGTGTATCTTAACTTTTAACATTTTCAACTTCTGGAAAACTCCAGAACCGATTTCAGTGAAATTTTACAAAAAACTTTTTGTGGCTTAAGGTGCATCAAAATTGTAAATTACATGGTCCACAACCCCTAGAGGCTTTAGGGATGGGGCAGAAATGGGTCAAATTGATTGAACTTCAAAAATCTTCTTCTCAAATCCCATATATGGTAGAATCTAGTATTTATAAGATGGAAAGGCCTTCAGATGTTGTACCGAAATGTAAATTTTATTACTCCAGGGTCTCGCATTTCCAAAATGGGAGGGGGTAAAGTTATAGTTTATGTAAGAAAATTACATTTTTGAACTCCATTTGTTTATTTGTTATTGAAATAGTTAAAACCAAAAATGGGTCAAATTGACTGAAATTTCAAAAATCTTCTCACCTTTCCCCAAGTGGAGGGGATATAAATTACTATATTTTATATAGGAAAATTACATTTTCGTTCAGAAATAGTTCAACCATGGTTAGAATTTATTTTTTATTAGTAACAGTGTTTGATGAGATGCACATATTGACCCAGGGACTTATGGGCGGAACCAAAAATGTGTCAGATTTCACTGAAATTTCAAAGATGTTCTACTGTTCCTGAAATCTTTTGTAAAATTTCTTTTAATTCAAATTTAAAAAGAAGTTCCAGTATGGGACAGCAGTTAATGTATGAACAATTTACATTTGCATTCTGTTTACAGTATAGTTAAAGTTATCTTACATTTTTTTAAAAAAATCATCTCTATCACATGTTACAAGGAGTATTGTGACTCAGGTGACTGTGAAGGCCCTTGGGCTTCCTTTTTAACATCTGCATTAGATAATTTCAAGGTTTACAGGTTAGCAGAAAAAATGCAACATGATAATTACCATTGAAACTCGTAATTAATTGGTGATACATTGTTAACAATTTATCAATAAACATCAAAATCAACAAACCACACCTCAATAGAGATGCAATATTATTTGTATGTAATGTACAAGATATTTCACTTCTCTGGGAAGATATGGCATGTCGACTTACGTTGTTTATTGGAAACAATCTCCTTAAAGGCAAATAAACATGGTAGGGCAAAACAATATCAAAATGTTACATATATTTATACCAACTGACAAAATATTGCATCGAAATGCATCTAACATGCAACAATAGTTATTTCATGTATATATGAAATAGCCAGCAAAGAACAAAAGTCATCGATGAATAGTCAAATTTGGAATCAAAATTTCATCCTTGAAAACACAATTTCAAGTCATGGTTGTTCAGCCCTCCCAGATTTTCAGAGATCATTAAAAAGCTGGCTGATTAATGATAGTAAGCCGAAATATCTAGAGGTCAAAGGTCATAATTTAGTTTAAATTTGATGTAATTTCAGCGTAGGATACATTTTCAAAAAAACTAATAAATAATTGGTTCAATATCAGCTGTTGGCAGCTTATCAGATGTAAAATTCATTCAGAAAACTTCATTAAGATATTGTTCTGTTGGGGGATTTTTCACATCCCTTCAGTTGCCCGTATTTCAGGGGCATCACGATGAAGGCTAAGTGGAATATCATAACACCCCTTCTGTAATTCTGTACATGGTATGCTACCCTTTTCTATCTCTACACTTACAGTAATGGATGTCCGATGTATTCTGTGGAACTACATGCGAAAGCTGAATATTTGATTATTTTCCCAAATTTAAGCTTACTTATTAGAAAACAAATAAAAAAGACATCTCTAGCATGGATAAGTAGAATAATGTTTAAAAGATCTTCGAAAAAGTCTCACAACATGTTGAAGTCCTTTCATTGTACTCCTACACCCCCACAATTATATAGTGCACATCTTATTGTTGTCATTTGAGATTATAAACAATTATTTAAGACAATTAGTCTGATTAAATTTGTTAAATGCTTACAATGATTTTAGACTTAAGTATTGATTCTATCTTCAAAAACAAATTTACAACCTCCAAACTGTTGATTATTATCAGAATAATGTTTTGCTAACTTTATACGATTTTTCAACTTAATTTACACTGGTAACTCACCTATTATTCTAAATGGAGTATGATAGTGTTACTAACTGGAATATGTTAGTTACATTTGCTGAGAACTAATTCTGTAAGCTTGTGTACCTATTGTGTATAACCTTGGTGATGTGTCTGTCGTCTTAATTGTTAACTAATTGGATATAATAATTCTTCTCACATTTCTCTGTAAATGTAGGATGATAGGTTTACTTATTCAGTACTTCAATATATCAGTCATAGAGTTTGAGTTCTGGAAAGGACTGATTTCTTATGGTACTAAATCATGAAAAAGCAGAAATTTGAAACCTGTGGAAATTTTTATGATTGGATTTGATTTTCTTTAATATTTAGATTTTTTTTAAAAAGTACTAGAAATAAAAGAGAAATTCACTAAATCAGGTACACGTTAAAGCTAATCAGGATAAAATCTTAGAAAGTATGACGAATGTTATACTTGTCAGCTCTAATTTCTTAAACTCATATTTTCCATACAACGAGAAAGCCTTGCAAATTTCAATTGGCACTTTCAAAAAATTCACAGAGGTTTTAGCTTTGTAATACAAATCATGATGTGATATATATCAAGTGAGCAACTTAGGCATGTGCCTATCATATCATGTACTAATTTTAGACAGTAAATGTCTCATATTGTATCATTTAACACCTGTTCATATTCATAACATTGCATAATGACAGATTCACTTTTCATTGATAAATACTCACAGCAGTTATACATGGTTTTGTTTTTCCATCTCCAGTTAGTGATAATTTCTTTGGTAAGCAGTTTATAGATGGTTTGTGTATATTATTTCTTTTGTAGCACTTTACTGCCTTTTGCTACTCATTTACACGTTTTAGAAACTCGTTAATCTGGACCGTTTTCTGAATTAAAAAAAAAAAAGAAAGAAAAAAAATTACAGCAAATTGATCAATCGAAGGAAAATCATAACATAATTTTTGATCAGTTACTATGGATGGTTGCAAGAAAATGAAACTTATGGTAGGTAGCAAAAAGGTGAATTTTTTTTTAATCCTTGTCTGGACAACAAGGTTCTAAATTTTTTTTTTTTTTAAATCTTTGTCTGGACAACGAGGTTCTACATTTTTTTTTTAATCTTTGTCTGGACAACGAGGTTCTACATTTTTTTTTAAAATCTTTGTCTGGACAACAAGGTTCTACATTTTTTTTTTAATCTTTGTCTGGACAACGAGGTTCTACATTTTTTTGCATTTGATGTTTGATTCCGTTTCATTCCTTACGGCATGGTCTCTGAGCATGCTACAGTTGCAGCATATCCAACATGTTCGATGGGGTGTAACCTATTCATAGCGGCAGTCGCTGAAGTGAGACTTACCTGACAGGTCACTGCAGTATTAATAGTCTCTTTAAAGAGAACTTGACCTTTAACTAAAAGTCAAGTTTCCTAAAAAAAAAAAAAAGAGTTTTTGATTGTCTAATGAAATTAAGACGCAGCTATATTTGGTAGTGAAATTAGTAAGAATTTCAAAGCAAATGACAATCCTGAAAAATCTCTGGGAAAAAAGCGTGAACTTTTCGTAAACGAGACATTAGTCTGAACTGTTGTGAGACCTTGATTAGACTCTAAGAACATGTTTGTTGTAGCTGTTCTTCCAGGCTGTAATTGTTGCTGGCACACTGTCAATATCTTTGTCATGTATTAGAGCCTTCCCCTGATAGTAAAAGCTTCGACCAGCCTTGCTACCAACACAAGCTGAGTGTGCAACTACATTGTAGAAACTTGTCATTCTTATCTTCACCGATATAATCAGTTTTATGGACAGTTCAGCTGCAGGCCCAGTATTCTGAGATACAAACAAGTCATTTTCATCAGACAGTTTCATTAGTTTTTTCACTTCATCTTTAAAACATTTTTAAAAGTGTCGATACAATAGTTTTTAAAGAAAGCATGTATAGGAGATTGACTTCATCATTGCTCTAGAATTCCTTTCCAATAGATAAGAGTGGTGAGGAATGTTTATACTGTAAAAGTGGAGATTTTCGCACATTTTTTTTTTTTTTGTTTTTTTTTTTTTGCCTAATCAACTTTCTAACTTTCAGCGATGTGGAATTTTTGCACTGTCACTCAGGAAATTTTCGCACTGTCATTCAAGGTAAAGAAGTAGTTTTGATGTCTGTGCAATTAAGAAATCAAAAGGAAATAACTTTTACTCAGTTTTACCCTTCAAGAGTGAGAAACCACTTTTTTACCTTGAGTGACAATGCAAAAATTTCCACATCGCTAAAAGTTGGAAAGTTGATGATGCAAAACAAAAAAAGGGGTGAAAACATCCACTTTTACACTACGTAAAATCAGATGTGAGGTTATCCTGTAATCCTTTTCGTTTGGAATAGATATATGCCATGGTTTCCAAGGGAATGTTTGCATGAAACGATTTCTTCACACAAAAAACACAGGAAACGTGTAATTTGTACTTAATAAAGGGATTCAAGGAAACACATGTTTAAATGTACATTAGCATCTGTTCTGTGTCTCTTTAAGGTAGACTGACATGAGTAAATTACCTCCCCTTAGTGTTTAAATGACCTCTGTAATCAAGGATTATTGAGTCAGCACTGCTAGATTCTGCAGTTCTTAAACCCTGTACACCTTGTGACCAATTATGCAGCCAGAACTCCAGACACTTTCGCAGCACTGTACACCTTCTGATTCAACGACACAGAAGTATTTTAGTTTGTGATGTTGTAAATGTCTTTATTTATTGTGATCCTTTATTTTGATGCTGACTTTTTTAATGCTGGTACATTCACCATACATCATTGTTTGAAGTGGAACCGACTTATTTGGTAGTGTGTGGGTGCTTCAGTCCTCATCATACTTTTGGTTAAGGATAGATCTGACAAAGCTATTGCACTAATATTTTGCTTTGAAGTTTCTTAGAAATCTTCTCATATATGGGTATGGATTCCTGATATAGGTTTGTTGATATGGGATCTCCTGTAGATAGTTAAATGGTAAAAAAAATCTGCATGATATGTATACCATATGTATGTCCATGACACTCCAGCATGGGGGTCTATAGTAATAGTACTTCATATTATAGTCATTATAATATTGATTTCACAGATAAATATTACGCTTAATTTAAATAATATTGTCTTTCAACGTTCAATGAAACTCAGTAAAGATTACTCTTAAAAAGCATGATGTCTTCAAAAATATTGACAAAAGTAAAAATATATATCATATGATGTATATAATGAAATGTAAAATCTCTGTGTGATAACTATTGGTTCCAAGTTGGTTCTAAAACATTGTTTTCCTTATGTTTATGACTTTAGTCTTTAGATGCAATTCTGAGTTGAATGAGACTCCTGAACAAGGCCTATATAGTTATAAATATATATTTATTGTACAAACCCACCCCAGTACTCCACTCTCTTCTTGTGACTGAACAAGGGTGGTAACAATTTGACAGAAAGAGTTACAGTTAAGGATATTGGATAATGCGACAGACTTCTGTCATCCTGGTCGAATTCTATGGTTGTGTCGTAAAGCTATACATATTGATTCTTTGATGTAGGCCAGTTATTTGGATATAATTGATGGAATAATAAGTTCATTAGATCATGTATAGTTAATCAGATTTCTATATTTTGTAGTGATACTTTTTGTGAATGAATCATCTAAACTTTATAATGGATGTTCCAGAGTAACTTACTGTCACTGATTCCCTAGTAGTATCTATAGACACCGTCACACCAACAAAGGTCCCCAAGCCACTTACACCATACCCAACAATGCATGAATCCTCGACCAATTTTTGTCTTGTGTTAAGATTATTTGAGTCAATTTTCATGTGTTTTATTTGAAAGTTTCCTTTTGATTTAAGACATATGTTGTTTTTGCTTTAAATTTGTTCTGTGACAGCCAGCTAGCTAACATTGGAGCTTTGTAGAAGATTATCGTGTTGAATTATAAACAGAAGCAGCATAAGTGTTTTAAATGTCCTCTGTTGTAATGTTCATTAATCTGAATTGCATGCTGTAATGCAAAATTTATGAAGTCCTGAAATAGTGTGATTGTCTTCACAGTGCTGATAACATAGTAAACCTCTAGCTTTGGTATTCAATCTCTTTCTCGCTTTCAACTATCATAAAACAAAATTCTGAGCTGAAAAAGTAAAGTTTTAAATTCAGAATTTCCATGTATTGAATTAATTCTAATCTGTATCCTTTTACTTTGACAGTACTTCTAAATTCTACAAATCTTATCAACTTAATTTTAATCAAGGGTTTGTTTGAAATGTGTTGATTGTATTCGAGGAGTCTGGAGTATTGTTTTGTTGTGAGTTAGTAATTTATTATGTTGTTTTTTGTAGGGATGGGCAAAGAACTTGAGAATCTTATACTGGAGAACACAGAACTTCTGGAAACAAAGTAAGTTACCTGTACATGCCACAGTTCGTTAGTTTTTACGTGTCCAATAATTAATGTGAATTAGTAAATTATATCTCCTCACATTTACTTTTAGGGGAGGGAGGGTGGGGGGAGGAAGGAGTGCAAATAGTTTCCTAGGTCAACTGATTTGGTTATGTTTACCCCAAAATATCCTTGCATCAGACTATGAACATATCAAGTTGAGGTAGTCATGGGTTAAGGTCAAAGTTCGTATTTGACAACTTTTGCAAATTTATCAAACAATGGTGTATGTAGTATTCCCATGCATGTTAATGAAGGAATATCACAAAATTTGATGAAAACCTAATTGATGTTTTTTATTTTTACAGAAATGCCTTGAATATTGTCAAAGATGACCTCATAGCTAAAGTGGACGAATTATCCAGGTAAAGTTTTGTTGTTTGACTTATTGAGACCCCTGTATTTAAATACTAACTTCTTTATCTCAATACTAACATCTTTATCTCAGGCCTCTTTATCTCAGATTTAGGCAGTGTTTTGTCTTGTCAGGCTGTTTTGTCTTGTCAGTGTTTTGTCTTGTCATGTTTTGTCTTGTCTGGCATCTACCTTTCAGAAGATTTAGGTTTTGTCTTATCTGCCTTTCAGAAGATTTAGGCAGTGTTTTGTCTTGTCAGGCGTATCTACCTATCAGAAGATTTAGGCAGTGTTTTGTCTTGTCAGGCTGTTTTGTCTTGTCTGGCATCTCTACCTTTCAGAGGATTTAGGCAGTGTTTTGTCTTGTCTGGCATCTCTACCTTTCAGAAGATTTAGGAAGTGTTTTGTCTTGTCAGGCTGTTTTGTCTTGTCAGACTTATCTGCCTTTCAGAAGATTTAGGCAGTGTTTTGTCTTGTCAGGATTTAGGCAGTGTTTTGTTTTCAGGCATCTTGTCAGTGTTTTGTCTCGTATCTACCTATCAGAAGATTTAGGCAGTGTTTTGTCTTGTCAGGCATATCTACCTTTCAGAAGATTTAGGCAGTGTTTTGTCTTGTCAGGCATATCTACCTTTCAGAAGATTTAGGCAGTGTTTTGTCTTGTCAGGCATATCTACCTTTCAAAAGATTTAGGCAGTGTTTTGTCTTGTCAGGCATATCTACCTATCAGAAGATTTAGGCAGTGTTTTGTCTTGTCAGGCATATCTACCTATCAAAAGATTTAGGCAGTGTTTTGTCTTGTCTGGCATCTCTACCTTTCAGAAGATTTAGGCAGTGTTTTGTCTTGTCAGGCATATCTACCTTTCAGAAGATTTAGGCAGTGTTTTGTCTTGTCAGGCTGTTTTGTCTTGTCTGGCATCTCTACCTTTCAGAAGATTTAGGCAGTGTTTTGTCTTGTCAGGCATATCTACCTTTCAGAAGATTTAGGCAGTGTTTTGTCTTGTCAGGCGTATCTACCTTTCAGAAGATCTTGTTTTGTCTTGTCAGGCATCTCTACCTTTCAGAAGATTTAGGCAGTGTTTTGTCTTGTCAGGCGTATCTACCTTTCAAAAGATTTAGGCTATGTTTTGTCTTGTCAGGCATCTCTACCTTTCAGAAGATTTAGGCAGTGTTTTGTCTTGTCAGGCGTATCTACCTTTCAGAAGATTTAGGCAGTGTTTTGTCTTAATTACACCCCTATCGCTATATACTGACTTCTTTATCTCGGGCTTTCCTGCCTTTCAGAAGATTTAGGCAGTGTTTTGTCTTAATTACACTTGTGTGGCTATTTACAGACTTCTTTATATCAGATGTACCTGTCTTTTAGAAGAAGAATTAGGCAGTGTCTTTATGGTGATACAATATTATATATTCTAAACTTCATAGAAAGCCTGTAAAATCACTTCAGTTTTGCTGAATAGTTATATTGAAGTGAATTTATTGATAGCACAGAAAAAAGTGAAATGGAATATGTGATCTTTAGTGAATTAAGATGTGATAATAATGTGTTATACTCTGACAGTGAGCAGGAGATTCTGCGTGAAGAGATTACATCTCTCCAAGCAGTCAAGACAAAGCTACAGGGACGAATCAAGGATCTAGAAGAGGACCTCAAGAAAACCAAAGAGGAGTTGGAAAAGAAAAAGTCTGGTAACAAAGAGGAAGAGGAGGTGGGTATATGTGTCAAACAAAACCTAATGTTGCTTGGTGTAAATAATACTAAAAATTTCATTAGCAAAACAATCTCAACACAATCCAATACTTGTACAGGGTGATTGAGTAGATAAGTTCAGTAATGTAATATGATTGGAATCTTCAGGCATGTGTCATATTAGATTGTTGTGCAAGTTTGATACGACAAAAACACAAATATAAGATTCTATTTATCACATATCAACTCTTGTATATTGGTGTGAAAGTGAGTGAATTACCCATGAGACAGAGAGACACTTATTATTCATGATGTCACAAGACTAGACTACCAACCCCATATTAGATGTCTGATGTGAGAGTATCACATAAGAACAATTGTTTTCTCAGGAAAAAGAGTGTTAGCTACAAGGTTTCCTAGTCTTAATTTTACATGTAAACAAATGTGTGTACAATTTCTCTCAAAAAATTCCCTTGATTGACAGGATGATGTGCCTATGGCCCAAAGGAAGAGGTTCACACGAGTTGAGATGGCTCGCGTTCTTATGGAACGAAATCAGTACAAAGAAAGACTGATGGAGCTCCAAGAGGCAGTTCGATGGACGGAGATGATCCGGGCTTCACGTGAACACCCAGAGGTCAACACTACACCTAGTAAACAGAAGAAATCATCAATCTGGAACTTGTAAGTACATGTGTACCAATATGTTGTATCTGTCAGAAGTTCTCATAGGTTCTTCTGAAATTCCATGTGTGATATATCAGAAATTCTGATTGGTTGATGAAGGTCTTAATGGATAAAAAACAAAAAAAAACAAAATACATTGTCACAGCTGTGATCTAATTGTATTAGTTATACAGGAATGGTTTCAGTTATTTTTTCAAATTTTAAAAGTAGATAGCTGCTTAAAGATAGGAAAATATCTTGCTTCATCAACAGAATTTGTGATTTTCTTTCCCATTTTGTTCTTCATATGCTTGACAGCTTTTATGCATCTATTTACGTAAGACTCTTGAATATCAGAAAGTATGGTATTTGTATTCAGAAAATTAAAACTTGCATGACCATGATCTAATATTTTTATTTTTGTATTTTTAGTAACTTGTTACCCCATTTGTAAGAAATAAAAAAGGAAATCAATTCTTGAGTATTTCTCAACGTTTTTCTCAAACTGTTGAAAGTTTAAAACGAAACATTTACAAGTGGGGTACATATTATGTAGAATGACGTCCTCAGTTAAGATATTATTTGTGAATCGTGAGATGTGTTGTGATCATAGCCTGACTTGTGCTTGATAGAAGATAGCATGGTATCTAATCTGTTGTACTTTCACTTTCTATATATTTAGTATTGTGTCATGTCAGATTGCTTTGAATCATGATTTCACATTATTAGTTGATGATTTTTGATAGCCTTTTAAAATTGCTTTAAAGAATTTTTCTGAATCACTTTGTTTTCTGTGTAAATTGTCCATCAACTGAGAACATTTGATGTCTGACTTGACAGAAATGAAATCTCTTGTACCTCTTTTTGTAAATTTCAATTTTCAATATGCAAAACATTTTGAAATTAATCACATAGAGCTCAAGGAGCTCTGCTTTTGCCAAAATTTACATTGGAAATGTGACTCAAAGTTATAATTATTATGCAGCATTTTATTTGGTGTATTGTGTTCCATTTAGTTTTTCCAAAATTATTTTGTGTTAACTCTTGGAATTGCAAAGCGTCTAAATGCAGAGCAAAAGAGGTAAAAGAGAAAACTTGATGGTTCTTTTGAAAGTTTTTTTCCAGGCTCAGATCTGTAATCCAAAAATTAATCTGGACTTGTCACTAATTCAAGGTATTACATATTATGTTTTGAATTATGTTACTGTTGTAGGTAAAGGGAAGCATCCATTTTAGATTGTTTGGTACAAGTTTAACAATTTCAATAATGTCATATTAACTGTACCTCTATATAATGTTTCAGTTTTGGTAGCCTTGTCGCACCCTCCCCAGAGCCGACTCCTACAAAAAGCAAGAACGATAGTAAAACACAAATTATCTGACCGAAAATATACTGATAAAACATACCGGTAGCTCTTCCAAACTAAAAACCATCCATAATGATATTTTTCTACAAGATACCTCAGTTCTTTATGTGGTAGTGTCATAGTCAGATATATATAGCAGTATATAAGGATTGATTGACAATGAGGTACAGATTGTGTGAAAGGTTGTTTGATATGAAATGGAGTTTTCATTGTATGACGTGATCTCATTGGTGATCTGTGATTGGTTGAATTATTTAAGTTCATGGGTCAGAAAATAGTTATCTGTATTTGTTTAAGGCATTAATTTAGTTTTCAAAAGTGTTATTTGTTTTTGTGTATTGAATGCATTCCTATTGAAGTTTTGAAATCCTTGTTGAAGTAATGATAATACATTTATCATATAATTGTTTTACTGTTTCATATTTAGTATTTTTAAAAGTTTCTCTGTGTTAGACTCTAGTTATCACACGGTTTTTACGTAATCTTAAGTATGTTTTAATTATATAAATATTATTCTCTAAATACTATAGGTGTTAAGTAAATTTGTTTTAATTAATATATTTAGTTTTATTTAAGTTGGTCACATGACCAAGCCCTTCCATACAAATTGTTTGGTTGATTGTTTTTTATATATAAGGAGTGAAGTATTTTTAGATCATTTGAGACAAAGTCTCAGGGTGACCTATTGCGATCCCCTTTTGTCCGGTGTCGTGCATTGTGTGTCATAAACTTTAAACATTCCCAACTTCTTGTAGAATGAAAAACTCTTCATGGATGGAAAGGCCTTCAGGTGCTTTACCGAAATTGTAAATTTCATGACTCCAGGGTGTCACATTTCCCAAATGGGACAGATTAAATTTAATATAGTTTATATAAGAAAATCACACTTTTTAACATTATTTGATAATTTTCTATTAAAAATAGTTCAGACCTGGTTAGAATTATTATTTTAGGATGACAGGTTAATGAGATGCATATATTGACCTTAGCTGGCCCCCTAGGGGCTGATGGGAAGGGCCATATACGAGTCAAATTATAGTTTATGTAGGAAAATTACATTTTTGAGCATAATTTATTTCCTTTCGGCAATAGTTTAAACTTGGTAAAATTTTCTTCTTTTCTTTTTTTTTAGTATAAGCTGAATGTTTGGTGAGATATACATATTGACCTTGACTGACCCCTAAAAATGTGTCAAATTGACTGAAATTTCAAAGAAATATTTTACTGTTTCTGGAGGGAAAATTTTATATATGAAAATTCAAATCTTTAGTGAAATTTCTTTTAATTCAAACTTGGTTAGAAGCCTTTGCATGGGAGAGCAGTTAATGTAAACACAATTTAAATTTGCATTTGTGTACAATAGTTAAAGTTATATTACATTTTTTAACAAAAGCATTTCTATGACATCTTACAAGAACCAATGTGACTCAGGTGACCGTTAAGGCCCTTGGGCCTCTTACTATGTTTAAAGTATTTGTATGTTTTTTATTTAAGAATTGAATGTGATAACATAAAATGTGCTTTAGGTTGAGATGGATGTGGGAGATCCCAAATACAGGGTGTGACTCCTTCTGTATTGTCACTCAGTGACCTTATTATTATGTACGTGTATACAATATATCATACGTGTAAAACATCAGATATCAGATTTACACAACTTTGCTCAATCTACTCTATCAAATGCTAGCCTAGTTACCTACCTTATTGTAATTTTCAGCTAGTCTAATTACCTACCTTATTGTAATTTTCAGCTAGCCTAGTTACTTACCTTATTGTAATTTTCAGCTAGTCTAATTACCTACCTTATTGTAATTTTCAGCTATGACTTGAACATATTTTCTCACAGGGTTCAGTTGTAGATACAATTTCATTTCACTCTATTTTGACTTCAGTTGGATTTTTTAATATGTATTTCTTAAACAGATGGTTTCTGTCTATGAACTCGATAGGTCCATATTTTTAGCAAAGAAATGAATGGAATATATATTTGAAAAATTCGCAGATATCATTTTCCCCAAAATTATAAAGAAATATTCAGACAAGTTAATAACCGCTGAAGAAGGTCAGCAAATCTGTATTTGCCCTTGACACTTTGAAAATCAGACAGACATAGTCAAGACTGTGTAGGGTTCAACTGACTGGAGAATCAGACAGATATAGTCCAGATTGTGTAGGTTTCAGTTGACAGGAGAATCAGACAGACATAGTCCACATTGTGTAGGGTTCAGTTGACAGGAGAATCAGACAGACATAGTCCAGATTGTGTAGGGTTCAGCTGACAGGAGAATCAGACAGACATAGTCCAGATTGTGTAGGTTTCAGTTGACAGGAGAATCAGACAGACATAGTCCAGATTGTGTAGGTTTCAGTTGACAGGAGAATCAGACAGACATGACAGGAGAATCAGACAGACATAGTCCACATTGTGTAGGGTTCAGTTGACAGGAGAATCGGACAGACATAGTCCTGATTGTGTAGGGTTCAGTTGACAGGAGAATCAGACAGACATAGTCCACATTGTGTAGGGTTGTGTAGGGTGTAGGGTTCAGTTGACAGGAGAATCAGACAGACATAGTCCAGATTGTGTAGGTTTCAGTTGACAGGAGAATCAGACAGACATAGCCCTGATTGTGTAGGGTTCAACTTACCGGAGAATCAGACAGACATAGTCCAGATTGTGTAGGGTTCAGTTGACAGGAGAATCAGACAGACATAGTCCAGATTGTGTAGGGTTCAGTTGAGGGTTCAGACAGACATAGTCCAGTGTAGAGACATCAGACAGACATAGTCAAGATTGTGTAGGGTTCAACTTACCGGAGAATCAGACAGACATAGTCCACATTGTGTTAGGGTTTAGTTGACAGGAGAATCAGACAGACATAGTCCAGATTGTGTAGGGTTCAGTTGACAGGAGAATCAGACAGACATAGTCCAGATTGTGTAGGGTTCAGTTGACAGGAGAATCAGACAGACATAGTCCAGATTGTGTAGGGTTCAGCTGACAGGAGAATCAGACAGACATAGTCCAGATTGTGTAGGGTTCAGTTGACAGGAGAATCAGACAGACATATTCCAGATTGTGTTAGGGTTTAGCTAACAGGAGAATCAGACAGACATAGTCCAGATTGTGTAGGGTTCAGCTGACAGTTTACATTGTATGATAGATAGAGAGAAGAAATACGTGTAGAATTAGATACCAATGTTTGTGATTTCGGAGTCTGATAAAATCTCCAGTTAAGCTTTACGATACAGAAAATTAAATGTGACTCATTGCCAAACACTGTCACATGAAGCTGGAATTATAACACTAATGATGTGATACTGTTCTAAGTTTTAATTTGACAACTGTAAACATCCAGCAGTTTTTTAGAGGAAGATGTTTTGCCAGGAAATATAGTTTTACTTTCATTGCTGAGAAATATGATGTTCAATGAAAATGTTTGAAAACCCATTGATCATATCTCTTAGTGATAAGTCCATTACACTTTTCCTGTTAGTTTGTCAGAAAATGTATTACAAATGTGAGGGTATGTGTTTGTGGAGAATGCTTGTGTGCTGATGTGAGGGTATGTGTTTGTGGAGAATGCTGGTGTGCTGATGTGAGGGTATGTGTTTGTGGAGAAGGCTGGTGTGCTGATGTGAGGGTACGTG